ACCTGATATATACCTCAGCTTCCTCATCTGTAAAATGTAGGTCATATCTTGTCTACCTAACAGAGTTGTGTTAATCCCAAAGATGGGAGAAGGACCACCACCCAAATCATCATGGCCAAATTAATTAAAGCAATCAATTAATTAGGGAAAGTTTTTTTTATTTGTGAACACAGCCTGCCTCCCCCTAATGTGAGGCTTGAGAGGTCAAACTTGGATGTGAGGAAGGTTTTCATAGCTCAAATGTAGGGAGTTTCCAAATGGCAGATTTGGGAGGCAAAATAGGTATGGTTATCCTAGAAGAACATGATCACAAGTTAGTCCTAATGACCTCCTGAAACAAAGACATGGTTGCAATATGAGCATAATAAGGTAGACATAGCAACCCTTTTGAAACAAAGGTGGGATTGCAAGATAGTTATAAACAACTTTTTGAAACAAAGACATAAATGCCATTCCTGGAACAGGCAGCACAGAACCATTTGTAGTTAAGGTTACAGGCAAGCATAACCCAATCCTTGAGATACAAGTCTTATCATAAGCAGGAATGATTGTTTGTCTTTATCATAAAATGGCCTTTAAACCTAAGATGGAGACGGACTGGTTCTTCATTTGTTGTGAAAATACAAGTGGGTAATCAATGGGAAGTGCTTACTCTGCACAGGACCTAGAAGATCCAAAGCCCCAAAGAAGAGATGCAGTTTGGCATGCTATGAATTGACTTCTACTATAAAGTGGGAGTAACATAACTAACTTGCCTGTGGGGTCAGCCATTCTATGTATATCCAGGAAAGAGCTCAAGGTTGCATCATCAGCACAAACAATGGAAAGCGAGACAATAGACTTCATTGCCTGGCACATAACCACGGCAGGACTGAGTGGCAAGGGCTACTGGCTATCAAGAAAACATATGTAATCCAATGGACACTTGCTGGGAATGGGAAGGAATAATTTATAAATGTAAAATAAATGATCAATCATGAAAGGAGAAGGAAGTGAAAAAGTGTTAAAACTAGTTAAAATACTTTCCATTTCAAAGTTGCTGAAGCAGCCCTGAAAAATGCTAAAATAAAGAAAATGTATTCAGCAATTCGTTTGCATCCTCACATCTCTTTAGCTCAAGGGCTTCCCATGAAGCCTGTAGCCAAATTCTCAAAAATAATCAAAGGCAGTGAGCATGGAAAACACGCTGCACTCTTTCTACTGCAGGCTGGAGAACTACTGTCAGAAGACAAGGTCTGCTGACAAAACCATAGCCGTTCCAAAAATCCAAGTTGCAGGGATTTTGGTTAGACCGCTGCACTTTTTGATTAACAATGCATTTCATGTTTCCTGAAAGTAATTAGTAACCACATCCCATGAGTTTAAATTCTGACCCGATAAAAAAATGACACTGTTTACAGCACACTACTTCAGGCCCTTCATATAATGTCCTGGATAAAGATCTATACCACTTCAAAACTAAAAGCATCTAATAGTATATGAAGCACTCCTCTCTAAGGACTGGATGGGAACTGCTATACATTCAGTCAAGCATGTCATAAGCAATGTTGATGTTCCCCCATTGAAAGTGCCCCTGAAAAAGCATCCGAGATTTCACAGAAACGGGATGAAACCTCGAACATCCCACAGCAGGGAAGACAATGCTGACATTTCCCAAGCCTTGGCACTGCGAAGAAGTAATTCCTCTGAGGACCTGCCCTAACCACTCACTTAATGAAGAAGCCTATTTACAGCAAAGGTAGGTCAGAGGACCCCAGAAATGTACCCATGAGCTGTCTCGTGAATGGAGTTAGTTCTACACGAGGCCATTTCCAGAAGAGGCTGAACTATCCTCCTCTATCTGAACCCAAGCAAGGGCTGGGATTTGATTTTTAAAAATACTGTGTGTGTTTCTTCATGACAAATGGACAGATGTTTACAAGGAAGAGAATAAAAAGAAACACACTCACATGCATACAATAATAATAAGAGATAAAGATTTGGAGCTGGAGACGGTCAGCAGAAAATGGCCAACTTCTTCCTCACCCTCCTGATCTGAGACAAAACCCTGGCAGCTTAAAACAAAGGCTTTGTAGCCTCTGTCTCCCACCAGCAGGCCCCATGCTGATTGGCTAAGGAATTCAAGGCCTGCTCAGGACTGGTTGGAGGGACTCTAGCCCACTAGAGCATGAGCTCTGGGAGGCTTCGCCTTTCTCCCCCATTCCCTCTGCCTTGCTAAAAACCATTAGATTACATTCCTAAAGCTAGCCACCAAGGTCTAATCCCTTTTTTGACCACTTCCTCCTCCTGATGCTAACAGCCAAAGTCCAGCAATCAGAACCCCACTTTGGCTGACCTAATTAACATGCCCAATTAAAATTAAATACTTCATCCTAACACCGGTTTCCGCCCTTAACCTTTATAAACCACCATTTGCCTGTTCCATGTCTGTCTTCTCTCTATACAGAGGCAGTCCTTTGTCCCTCCTGGACAAATATCCCTGCCCCTTTGCTGTAAGTCAGGTAAACCACGACCGCCTCTCACCCACCTGCTCTTGTGTATGTACCCTGGTCCTTTAAAAGAAAAACTCCACCCACTCCTGTTCTCTCTTTCCGCTGTTCCCCTGAAAAGGCAAACAGGGCTTCTCCTGTCTCCCTCTTCTCTTCTGTCCTCTCTCTGTCTCTTTGTCTCTTTACGTCTTTTCTCTTTCCTTCCCTTACTTTCTCACTTCCCCCTCAATAAAACTTTCAACATGAGTCCTGTCTACAGGTCTCTGTTTCCCACCCGCCCGCCATCCATCACCCGCTGTGCCGCAGGTGCTACCATTTTGCCGCTGTATGCCTAACACCCTTAACCTCGTCCCCTTCCGCTTCTCCCTCATCCTCTATCTCCTTTACCTTCCTGGCCCATTCCAACACGGGCCTCCCCTTATCCTCCTCTTAAGAATGATACCTGCCCTAAGGAGAGATACTATTGCAGCCCAGATACGGAGATGTGATGGACTTTGACGATCCCCCATGGAGGGTCTCACTGTCCCTGGGGAGTGGGTGGGGGATGTGTTGGGGGTCGTGGGAAGCATGGAAGGATGGGAGGGCGAGGGAATGGAGGGATGGATATGTAAATAAGAGTGTCTCAAAAAGAAAAAGAAAAAGAAAAGAATGACACCTGCAAGGTCATTTGCTGTTGTTTATTTCTACCTGAGTCGGAAAGCAGCCACTTGAACTTTTCTTCCCTACTTACTAAAGGGTCTCTTTGTGAAAAGTGTTTGGATGCAATTTATGCCTAATCCTGGGTCTGGGGGGAAGCCCCGGCTGTCTGGACGATCCCTTCACCCAGCACACACCTGGCTCTAGAGGGGTGCTGCTGTGTGGGAGTCCTCTTCACCCAGCACACAACAGTTCTTCTGGGCCAAACAAATCCTAGTGTTTGTCAAAGTCGCCAATCCTAAACTAGGGAAGGAAAACCCTTCAGAGGTTTTAAACAGCCCCACCCGGATTCCCCCGCTGCTTTAGAGAGGGTCTCTTTCTCTGTGCGCCTCTATCAGCCCCACCCGGATTCCCCCGCTGCTTTAGAGAGGGTCTCTTTCTCTGTGCGCCTCTGTGTGCATGGCACGCACGCCCTCAATCAGCGCCTTTCTTCCGCTCCTGATTTTGACTTCGGTGCTTTGATTTCTCTGCTGCTACCTGTTGTGCTTCAGATGTTTCCTGCTTTTTAATTCTTTAGCAGAGAAAATGAACCCAGTCAAGACCTCTAAACTGGGTCACAGCCATGTTCACCATCGTCGTGTGGTGAGGAGATCCAAACTCAGGTCCTCTTGCTTTCACAGCAAGTAGGCACTCCCACCCACTAAACTCTCTCTCCAGCCTCAGGATTCTAACCTTTAAAATAAAAACAGGCCTTTTTATACATATGTATATGCACACATTTTTATACACATGTGAATACACACACATGTAAAACGTGTGTGTGTGTGTGCGCATGTGTGTCTGTGTGTCTGTGTGCGTGTGTGTCTGTGTGTGTCTGTGTGTGTGTGTTTCCCCTGAGGACACACTGAGGACACACTGGAGGGTGAACTGGCTGACCCACAGTGCCTTATACTGCTTTTATCCATTATGCTCTTGAACCAGCGTCTCCCACTCTTGTCCACAAACACACAAAGGCTATATCTTATAGATATGGAGAATGGTAGATAGGTAGATAAATGATAGATATAGAATCTCAGAACTTTTCATACTGATTACCTGATAAATACCACAATATTCTACATATATTAAACCAAATAAAAATAAGCCTACAGGGCTAGAGAGAAGGCTCAGGGTTTAGGAACTTTTGCTGCTCTTGCAAAGAACTGGAGTTCAGTTCCCAGCATCCATGTCAGGCAACTCACTGTGTTAATTCCTGCTTCAGGGGATCTGACACACTTCTGACCTGTGTGCACACCTGCACTCCCATGCATATGCCTACACACACACACACACACACACATAGTTTTAAAATAAACTTTTTAAAACATTGTCATAATTAATTTCACTGTTTGATGGGAGATGTAATTCTGTAAATCTGTATCTTATTGGTTGTTGAATAAAGCACTGTTGGCCAATAGGGAAGCAAGATAGGTGGGACTAGGAGTCAAGGAGGATTCTGGGAAAGAGAGGCAGAGTCAGACATGATGTAGCCGCCATAGGAGTAAGAGGTCCGGACCCTTTCTCCAGTAAGAGAAATACTTAGATTAACAATTATGGGGTAATTACTTAAGTCAGAGCTAGCCAGTAAGAAACCAAGCAAACAGCCAACAGCTTTATAATTAATATAGCATCCTGTGTGTTATTTGGGGGATTCAGACAGCATGGCAGGGCCCAAGCGACTGGCAAGGAAAAGACTACACTCTACAACCGTTTCTTTTTATTTGAGGAGGGAATGTTGTTTTGATGCAGGGGAACTGAACCCAGGACCTTATTTGCTCCAGTGTCTTTTTCCAGTGTGAGCCCACCCAGGGCCTCACACAGCGTGAGCCCACCTACCTCTGATGAGCTCTGGCCTGTAGCTCTTGCGCAGCTGTTCCAGGAAGCTGTTGTAGAAGCTCTCCGCCTGCTCTGTGGGCATCGCCAGGTGGAAGTCGGGCTTGTTCCCCTTGAGGACACACTGGAGGGTAAACTGGCTGACACACAGCACCTCGTACTGCTTATCCATCACGTTCTTGGACCAGTGTTTCCCACTCTCATCCTCAAACACACGCAGATTTAAAATCTTTCGAACCCTATGGGGAAAGAGAGCAGTGAGAGCTACTGAAGAATCACAAGACTGCCAACATACTCCATACTTCCAAAGAAAGAAGCACAGGTGACTCCATCACTCACAGAAGCTACTGAAGAATCACAAGACTGCCAACATACTCCATACTTCCAAAGAAAGAAGCACAGGTGACTCCATCACTCACAGAAGCTACTGAAGAATCACAAGACTGCCAACATACTCCATACTTCCAAAGAAAGAAGCACAGGTGACTCCATCACTCACAGAAGCTACTGAAGAATCACAAGACTGCCAACATACTCCATACTTCCAAAGAAAGAAGCACAGGTGACTCCATCACTCACAGAAGCTGCAATATGGGCATGTTAGTGAGCCATGCCTCATTTCTTCACCTGTGCTCTCAATAATAACAGTCCTGCTTGAAACGCCTGTTCTGTGACTCTTTTTTCACAGCCCTTCTGTTTCAGAGCAGTCATCAGTGGACTTAAGACTACAGCCACCAAAACTGCAAGAAAGCTGTAGAAACTGCAGGGGAGTTCTGCTCCTCACACACCTTCAGGCTCAAAAGTCAAGGTGGAGTGTGTGGTCCAAAAGAACTAACAGGAAAGGAGGTACAACCACACACGCGCACGCACGCACGCACCCCATAACCACATGGAACACAAAAACTACAGACAACAGCTCTCTTCCACCCCTCTCTGACACAGCACAAAGTAGAGCCTACTAAAGTCAGAGGGATCTGAGAATTTCACCTTCTAGCTCAACATAGTAATGCTAGCATTGATTTTATAAGTATTTTTTTTCTTACTCTCTAGTATCTGATCTCAATTCTTTGCATTTATGGCTCATGATGGTTTTGTTTGTCTTGATGTATTTTTCAGTTAGAATTGTTTTGTGTGTTTCCCTACCCAGTTGACTGTATGACATTTTTTTCTAGACTTTTCACCCTTATCTCATATACTTTCCCTCTTATTCCTACATCTTCTTTCTCTCATCCTTATTCCTTCCTCTTTTGCTTAACTTCAAACTTCCACAGCTTTAAATCTCTAGAATCTGTGAGCTCCAACAATATTCCAACTAATCCCCCCTTAGCTATTACTTACCTTAATGTTTTTTCATTTCAAAGTCAATCTAATATTCATTCCTGTCCTTGCCCATATACCATATGGGTATATGTTTATGCATATACCCATAGATCTGTGTGGGTCCCAACCTTGATCACAGAAACTTCTTTTTCAGTGGGCAGCAGTCAATGAAAGTCTAATGACTGATCAAAGTGACAAGAATTCGTGGCTATGAAGGTTCAGCCCTAAATAAGACATCTATACCAACTATCCCTTCAAGACTCTAGGAACACTGCAGGGGAGGAGGTAGAAAGAATACAAGAGCTGGAGGACAAGGAGGAATAACATGAAATACTGTCCTGTGGACACGGCATGGATGCTATACTCATAAGTTTACAAGTGTTTGGTCATTTGCACAAGATAAAGCCAGTCAACAGCATTAACAGTGGACATGCTCATAAGGCCCCATTCCTCTCTGAGGAGTTACTGGAAACTAGTGGTGGTGATCGTAAAGAGGGAACTAGTTTTATTTGGGGATGTGGCCATTGATATATTGCCCATGCTCTAGATGATAGATAGACCCATACCCATGTGCACACAGGTAGCACTAACTGGACTTACAATGCTATGAAAAGTTTTTCAATAATTTAAAAATAGCCAGGCATTGGTGGCGCACGTCTTTAATACCAGCACTCGGGAGGCAGAGGCAGGCGGATCTCTGTGAGTTCGAGGCCAGCCTGGTCTACAGAGAGTTCCAGGACAGCCTCCAAAACAATACAGAGAAACCCTGTCTTGGAAAACCAAAATAAATAAATAAAAATAATTTAAAAATAAAAGATTATAGCCACCAGTTTCTGAAACTTCAAGTTTGGGTATATGTCTGAACATGTGTCCAGTTCTAACTTTTTATGGAAGAATTCAATCTTTACACAGAAATGAACTACCTATTCAAAATGTTGTTCAGCAAATACTGAGAGAAAACTCATGTGTATTGCAAATATCAAGAACATTTAGGAAAAGATACTTGCTAATGCTCACCTTCTAGTCCATCTTTACTCCTTTGTGACTTCTACCAACCATAGAGTCACTCTCTCCAGGGACTCATAGCACCCACGCCAGGCTGAGACTCAGGGAGACAATATTTATCCTCCTTCCTGTCTTCCATTCCAATCTCTCTAGACTTACCCTTTGTCCTGCTCTAGCTGCAACCAGGAGTGCCTCCTCCCAGACCACCTCCAGCCCCTAGGCACTCAGCCTCTTGGTGCAGACCCAGGGATCCCTAGTTCTTTCCTGCTGCCCCTTTCAGCCTTTCCTTTAAACCTATGTCCATTGTGACTCCCAGTGACCCACTCTTTCCCAGGGACCTCACAGCCACCTACCTCACTTGACTTAGGACCCAGAGTGAACAACAGCAACCAAAGAAGGGACCAGATATCTACACCAAGAAACACCTTAAATGTCAAACTCTAGATGTCTTGATCCCAAAACACAAATATGAACAACCTAGCCAATATGCCTCTTCCAGAAGTCAGCAAACTATTACAACAGGCTCTGAGGAAAGCAATTAGCTGAGACATAAGACAAGAACCTCAAAATAGCAATTGTGAATATGTTCAGAGACCTTAAGGAGGGTGTGAATAAATACCTTATAAAGACTGTAAAGACAGGGGGCTGGAGAGATGGCTCAGAGGTTAAGAGTACTGACTGCTCTTCCAGGGGCCCTGAGTTCAATTCCCAGCAACCACATGGTGGCTCACAACCACCTACAATTCAATCTGGTGCCCTCTTCTGGCCTTCAGGCAGAACACTGTATATGTAATAAATAAACAAATCTTTAAAAAAAAAAGACTATAAAGACATAAAGAAACAGTTGGATAAAAAAAATGAAAACAGTTCAAGGCATAAAAGTGGGATTTAACAAAGAAATAAAATCACAAAAGAAAGCATAAACCGAAATAAACCAGAAAAGGAAAAATTCAGTATGTGAAAAAAAAATCTCAGAGGTAAGCCTCACCAGCAGACTAAAAGACATAGAAGAGAAAATTTCAGGTCTTGAAGACAAAGTAAAAGACATAGATAGCTCAATCAAAGAAAATGTTAAATCTTAAAATAATCTAGGCACAAAACATCCAGGAAATCTGAAGCACTATGAAAAGACCAAACCTATGAATGTTATCTTTATATAGAGGAAGGAAAAGAAACACAGGGCAAAATCACAATTTTTTTTAATCATAGGAGAAAATTTCCCCATCTAAAGAAAGAAATGTCTATGATGGTGTAAGAAGCCACCAAATAGACAAGAACAGAAAAGAAACTCCCTATGACATATAATAATCAAAACACTAAATATACAGAACCAAAAAAAAGGACATTAAAAGCTACAAAGGGGGGGCTGGAGAGATGGCTCAAAGGTTAAAACTCCTCTTCCAGAGGTCCTGAGTTCAATTCCCAGCAACTACATGGTGGCTCACAACCATCTATAATGAGATGCCAGAACACATGCCAGAACACGATATACATAATAATAAATCTTTTCAAAAAAAAAAAAGCTACAAGGGGGGAAAAAAGTCACATATAAAGGCAGGCCTATTAGACTAACACCTGACTTTTCAATGGAGACTCTAAAAGCCAGAAGGGCCTGGATAGATGTTCTAAAAGCTCTAAGAGACCACAGATACCTGGCCAGACTACTATACCTAGCAAAACTATCAATCACAGTCAAAGAAGAAACAAAAAGATTTCAAGATAAAAACAAATTTAAAGCCAGGCAGTGGTGGACACACCTTTAATCCCAGCACTCGGGAGGCAGACGCAGGTGGATCTCTGTGAGTTTGAGGCCAGCCTGGTCTATAAGAGCTAGTTTCAGGACGCCTCCAAAGCCACAGAGAAACCCTCAAAAAACCAAAAATAAATAAACAAATTTAAGCAATTTTTAAAAAAGATTTATTTATTTATTACATATACAGTGTTCTGCCTGAAGGCCAAAAGAAGGCACCAGATTGAATTGTAGATGGTTGTGAGCCACTATGTGGTTGCTGAGAATTGAACTCAGGACTTCTGGAAGAGCAGTCAGTGCTCTTAACCTCTGAGCCATCTCTCCAGCCCCTAATTTAAGCAATTTTTGTTCATCAATTCATATCCAAGTAAGAGAAACTAGAAGAAAATTTTCAATCTGATGGGAAAAACAACTACAATAAAGAGGAGACAAAGAATAATAATCCTAGAACAGTAAACCAAAGGGGGCAACCCCCACACAAAAATAACAAATAACAGGAACTGATAAATAGTGTTCATTAATAACTCTCAATGTCAATAGTCTCAATTCCCCTATAAAAAGATATAGACTAACAGACTGGATTGAAAAACAGGATTGATCTTTCTGATACATACAAGAAACACTTCTACATCATGAATGGGACATAGCCTAAGGGCAAAAGGATAGAAAAGGTTATTTCAAGTAAACAGACCCAAGAAGCAAGCAGAGTTTAACATTACTACCTTACTATGGCAGGGAAGGCATGGCAGAGCAGGGCAGCTCCTGACATGGCTAGCATGTTTCTCCTTTTCTTCCATCTGGGACCCAGCCTATGGGATGGTGCTATCTATATCCACTAAGAAGCCTTTCCCTTAGTTACTCCTCTCTGGAAAGACACTCACAAACATACCCAGAGGTGTGAGTGCTTCACTAATCTCCTATGAACATCTCAACCCAATCAAACAGATGATCAAGATTAGCCATGCCAGCATTAAGGAAATCTAGACCCAGGACCAATTATTACCCATTCTACTACATTGGAGCTCCTAAGGGACTCACTCTATAATACCAACACCTCTGAAAAATCAAACTACCCTTACTAGTCATCAAAATCTTAGTAGGGACTAGGTTCTGAGCCTGACTTTTAATGTAATAACAATGGGGCAATAGGACAGAGCTATAGTGAGACTCTTGAGCATCAAGGAGCAGCATCTGAACTGAATATAGTATGTGGTGCTAGGCAAGAAGCAGTTACAGATAAAGACTGACCTATTAAGACAGCCAGCCTGGAAGCAGCATGGTACACTCTCTTGCCTTGATAAGCAAAGCACCACCTTCAGAGGACCCAGCCCAGATTCTAATTCCAGTTCAGGTTTTCACTGGACAAGTTGTTCATGCCCTAGAACAAAGGAAATGAACCTGAGTTCCAATCCTTTCTTATATGACCAGTGAATAACTGGACATTTTGCTTAACTCAAGTCATATTGGTCCACTTTAAAGAGAAACATTGTCTGAAGAGGTGATGACACGTGGGGATAAGGGAAACTGGGGTCCTATTCCACCTGCTGACAGTGACTGAGGTTGGGCACAGTACTCTCCTCAGTCTTATCTGCATGGAATAATGGTTAAAATCAACACAGACTTGGCTTATAAGCACAAAATATTACAGGCGTGGCCAGGATGACCAGCACACAGCTCATGACTTAGCAATGACTTAGAAATCTAAATCTTACATGTGCTCCAGTTCCTTCTGTGAATCTTCCACGGAAATACCCAGCAACACACAGATGCCCCGTCCAATGGCACTTATCTGCTCTCCTCCAACTACCAGGAACCAAAAGGGAAAAAAGACACAGATGTACTCAGGCATCATGAAGCATTTTTCAGTCACCCTATGACCAACCTTAACATCACACATCCTTCTTACAACTTCTTTGATTAAAGTCAGTGAGTATATGAGCCAATAAATGCCATCCACTCTGGTTTCTTTTTTTTTTTAAGATTTATTTATTTATTATGAATACAACATCTGGCCTCCATGTATGTCTGCAGGCCAGAAGAGGGCACCAGATCTCATTACGGATGGTTGTGAGCCACCATGTGGTAGCTGGGAATTGAACTCAGAACCTCTAGAAGAGCAGTCAGTGCTCTTAACCTCTGAGCCATCTCTCCAGCCCCCAACTCTAGTTTCTTATCCAGAACAAATGAGAGCTGGAAGGTGAATAATCGTTGACCAGGATTTTAGCACCGGATTTTATCTGCAACTTTGGGTAAATGCCTAGAACTTTCCACAGTCTCATACATGCTTCTGAAAATGAGAACAGGGATTTCCTCCCCAAGAGACTCCAGCTCGGCCGGATTAATTCTCAGAAAGGAGATCCGATCAGCAGATCTAGTGATGCAAAACGCACATGGCACAGAATGGAAAATGTTCATGGCATATAAACAAATAAGTTTTTCATGCTGACTGCAAAGGTGAATTCACTATTCATAAGCACTGTGGCTTACATGTTAAGTGTCACTTCAGAAACTGCTGGCATCTCCCAGTGTGTTACCAGAATGGCATTCTGAGCCAATGAGCTCTAAATCTTTTGAATCATATAACCTTTGTCCATTAAAAAAAAAAAAACTCTAAGAACACCATCTAATATCTGTGTACGTCTTTACATTCAACTGTATTCCCTACTACCTTTAGCCAATATCTTAAACATTGTCATGACATATAAATTAATATTCATCATTATGATGGTGAAATTACATCCACATTTTAAGTAACAACCTTGATAATTTTCTCCTTTTTGCCCAATTTCATTGTATTACTGTTGGTTTTCGTTTTGTTTTGTACTGACCTAACATTCCTGTCAGGAATAGGCATCAATAGGTTTCTGAATGTGCAAATACCAAAACTTAATGCAAAACCAGACATACAATGTGTCCAATGTGCTTCTGGCTGTAGACAATCATGCTGCATCACTCCCCTATAATGCGGCCTTGGTTCTGAACACACAACACGCATACATACCATGCAACAATAAACACTGCCCGAAACACCTCTACTCAGATTTGAGACTATCACATGTATGAGTTGTATTCTTTTTACAGTATACACCAAGTTTTATGCTCTTACAGAAACATTATGGCATATAGAAAAGAATGACTTTTAATGATTCCTAGCGTTTTTCTTCAGCATGTAAGTATCAAAGTAATGGGGCAGGCAAGCATAGGGACCAGTTTAGCAAACTGAAATGCCACTTGGTTTGGACTTTGTATACACTCCTCCCTGAGCAAAATACCTTACAACCCTTTAGCAGCCTAGGACTCCATCTGCATAGATTGTATATATAACAACTTTATCTTTGAATCGGGGTGACTTATTTACATGATTACAATTGACTGACTTTTTAATATTTATCTATTTATGTGATTTGGATGTGCCAGAGGACAACTTGTAGGAGTTGGTTCTCTCTTCAGGTACACAGATTTGGTAAATGTTTTTGCTGGCTAAACCATTGCACAGGCCCTATATAATTGCTTCATACAATGGAAATAAGTTGCTCCCCTTGGCAACTTCTTGATAATGTCCCATTACAACTCAGACACAACCTTGGCAGCTACAGGCATTGGGCCCATCCACTCTAGACAACTGTTATTCAGGTCACTTACTAACTCTTTTTTTTTTTTTAAGATTTATTTATTACAGTATTCTGCCTGCCTGCATGCCTGCAGGCCAGAAGAGGGTGCCAGATCTCATTACAGATGGTTGTGAGCCACCATGTGGTTGCTGGGAATTGAACTCAGGTCTTCTGGAAGAGTAGTCAGTGCTCTTAACCTCTGAGCCATCTCTCCAGCCCCCTCACTTACTAACTCTTATCCTGAATTGTCTCATTAGGTTAAGCTCAGGTCTGACCAAAGGACTCCCTAGGGAAATTCCAAGAGCATTAGACATTCATGCAAGTACCAGCCCAGGGCCTTGCACATGCTATGCCAGCACACCCCCAGGTCTTGGTTTTATAGGACAAGGTTTCATTATATAGCTCAGTTTGGCCTTCAATTCACTAGGTAGACCATGCTGGAGACTCCACCCTCTGCCCCCAGAGAGCTGGGATGACAGGAATGGGCCACCAAGCTACAACCAAAGATACATTTTCCAAACTCCAGATCAGCAGTATGGAGGGCTCAAGGGATCAAAGCTCAAAATTTAAGCATGTTGGTGATGACCACATAAAGTAGACAAATTCTCCCTAAAAGTGCCAAACAATCTTTCATCAATGAATTTTCCAAGCTTTCTTGTACTTGAATATTTACTGAAATGTTACTAAAGTCCCATAAACTCCAGTCCTGTTCTCCTCATTAATCCAGGATGGTTCCTAAAACCAAAGTTAACAGAGCTGCTTGCAAATCACTAAGTGGGACTCAAAAGTGGACTCTCGGAGCCTACACATGTGGTATAGGTACTTGGTGGAGGAGGGGTCTTGGATTCAGATTTACACTTTGTAGACTAAAGGTCGCATATCTGTTATAAAATAAATGGCTTGAAGAAAAAGAAATCTCTATTACTTGAACTGAAACTTTGGGAGGGGAGGGTGTTATTGGGTTCCTTTTGTTGTCCAATTGAACTCCTGGGCTCAAGTGATCCTCCTGCCTCAGCCTCCAAAGTAGCTGTGATTACACGTGCTTGCCATGGCATCTGACCTAAAAATGCAATTCTGCATATATATAATTAACACTAGATAAGTGATGGCTCAGCAGGTGAAGGCACTTGCTGACAAGCCTGATTCCCTCAGCTGAATCCCAAGGACCTACATGGTAGCAACATCTCTAAATTGTCCTCTAGCCCGGGCACCAGTGTTCTGTTACTCGAAGAAACACACACAGACACACACTAAATAAATAAATGTATTTTTTTTACTTAAAAGACCATAAGTGTGGCACCTGTTGTTTCAATTTTTTAAATACTTTTCAAATAACTACAGTAGGAACAATAGCCATCTGGATCCTGGTTGCTTCAACTAGACTACCACATTCAACCAATGACTATCAGTTGAACGTCTTGGCACATTAATTAGTGGAAAAAAGAAACATGCCATCCTGAATTCTGTGGTTCTGACTCGTGGCTGAAGGAAGGGTTCAGAGACTGACATCTGTACCTAGTTGGGATGCCTTCATGTATTTGCACACAACTGTTAGTCCTTAAACAATGAGCAGTTCTTCATCTGTGCATTTTATCATGAGCCAAGTATCTTTAAAAAAAGAAAAGATGCAAAAGGGGGGATGCTAAATTACAACATTTCAGATAAGGAGGTGGGAAACGGGGGAGTCCGCTCCAGAAACGCTCCGTGTGTTGTTTGTGCAACAGTACATTCAAGAACGGGCCCTAGGGATGCTCTCAGATTCTGCCACCTTGTCTGTACGACACACACACACACACACACACACACACACACACACACACACACACACACACACACACACGAAGATGACATGATTATAATGATGATGACGACAATGATGAGGGTTTATGCTGCACCCAAAGCACGGAGCCTGAGGCTGTGAGAGGCCAAGCACGTGCCAGGTCTTCTCGGCCACGGCGCTGGCTGGAGCTGCCCGGCAACTCGGGGCTGCGGGGAACCCTCACACGGAACAGCGGGTCGCGGGGGTCAGAGGCTGTTCCTCCCGGGCCCGGCCCCGCCCGACTGACCTGTGACGCTAGCCTGGGTGACGCGCTGCACCACGGCCTTCATGGCGGCGGCTGTGGCTACAGGGACAGGCCGTGTGGACAGACCTTGCAACTCCGCCGGCAGCTCCCCGGCCGGAGCCCTCTACCGGTAACACCCGGAAGCGCCCCGGGAGGACCCGTCCACTAAGCTGCGGCGCGCCCACGTCGGCCACACCTACCCACCAATTGGTCACGCCCAAGTCAATCACGCTCACCTGCCACCTACCTATGACCTCGCCCATCCGTGGTAGGCCCCGCCCCATCTCAGCTGAGCTCCATTCTAATCCCTTAATATAGTCCCAAACTGGCAGCCCAGACTCCACTATACCCAGACACACCTTAAATTCTGCTCTAGTTTCTTTCTCCCTCTACTTTGCCCTGAGTCCTTTTCCTCCGATCCCAGGTTTCCCAAAAATCTTCAATTGTTCTCCAACCTCAGCAGCAAGCCTGTTGCTAAATACAAAAGGATCTGCTGCTAAAATAGCCATTTTGGGCTCTGAAGACATGTCACGGTAGTAGATAGGTATATGAGTGTAGAAGTCTAATTCCTTCCTAATACAAATCTAATAATTAGCTCTATTATATGGTTGTTAGGAAATTTGAATAAAATAAACTGTAAGGGTGCTTAGAAGGCCACAAAAAGCCACAGCTATTACTATAGCAAGTTTTCATTACTAAAAAATATCTTTGTAGCTCAGTGGTAGGTAGAACACGTGTTTATAACGAAAACAACAAAGATATGGGAGAAAGGGAGGGAAGAGAGAGAAGAGAGCATCCCAGCTATTTGGGATGAAGCAGGAGTTAAATCCCTGAGTTGAAGACCACCAATGTGAACAATATGACACTCTTCCTAGAAAAAGAAATGGGGATCTCAGAAAAGGTTCGCCTAGTTCAGAATGTCTCCCCTTTGAAGGCCTCTACTAGCATTGGTAGGTTCAGAAAAGCATTTGGTAAAAAGCAAGGAGATGTCATTTGGCCAGAAGACTCCAGGGAATGGTGACCCCACATCAGTGATGCAAGCATTCTGGAGGCAGAAAGTTCAAGGCCAACCTGTGATACAGAGTGAGACTTTGTCTCAAAACAAAAAAGGCCCACAAACTTGTATTGTTGTCAGATGTCCACCTAAGAAGACTGCTCAGACATGGGTTTAAGCCAATAGAAAGTCTTTATTAGCCAGCCACAACTACACTGGGTATTCAGGATCTCAATGCAGTGCTGACCCTTTTTCAGGGTGAGTTTTGTTTTTTGTTTGTTTTTGTTTTTCTTACATACATGTCTGTGCTCGGGTGTCAGGTCCCCTAGAACAGGAGTTGCAGACAGTTGTGAGCCATCATGTGGGTGCCGGGAATTGAACCTGGGTCCTCTGGAAGAGCAGTCAAGTGCTCTTAACCACTGAATCATCTCTCCAGCCCCAGGGTAAGCTTTTAAGCACAAAAAACATATTCTAGGTTGATATACTTCAGTTAATAGTTAGCCCAAAGTGAATTACTGAAGCCAAAAAGTAAGGTTAATACATTTAGAGACTTTTTCAGAATTATGAACTTCAATGGATTTTGGCAGGTGATGCTGCCTACATATTGAGTTTTATGGCCTGAATGGTACTTACCATCATCTTGTCAATGTGTAAAGGTCTGGGTGCCTACTAAGGTCTGGAAGCCTATTACAGTATTCTTAAATATTAAATACTGAATGCAAAAATTGCCTTATTAAGTTGTCTAAGATACCAATAGCAGTAATGAGATAAATGGACTTCACATGCTTTCTGATACTGGACTGAAGGACATGATAGTAATTCTGCAACAACAAAATTCAACCTGGGGCTAGAAATGTAGCACAGTCGGTATAGAATTTGCCTACCATGTATAAAATCCTAGGTTCAATCCTCAGTGTTACATAAACCAGGGATGGTGGCACCTACCTGGAATACGAACACTGGAGATAGAGAGGCAGGAGGTTAAGTTCAAGAACAGAGCTATACAGCAAATGTAATGCAGGCTGGACTGCATGACACTCTATACCTAAATCTAATTTTTAAATATATATAAACTAGGAACATTCAACCAAGTAGTCAATTTTTCACACCCAGGCAAAGAAAGTCTAAAAACTGTTCCAGAGTAAATAAGTTAAAAAAGACAGGAGGGTCAAAGAGATGTCTCACTGGGTAAAGGCACATGTTACCAAGCCTGATGACTCAAGTTTGATACCCAGGTCTCCATAAGGTAGGAGAGAGAACAATTCTTGTTAGATGTCTGCTAAGCTCCACAAACACCATCACATCAATGGTGTGACTGAGACAATATATGAGGCCAATGGCAGTGGGTGCAAGTTCTAACACTAATGCCCATTCTACATGGAGAGATACCTTGCCCAGCCTAGACACTGGGGTGTGGGGGTGGAGAGGTGCCTTAGTCCTGCCTCAACTAGATGATGGGCCAAACTTAGTAGACTTTCTAGGGGAGGCCTTATTCTCTCCGTGGAGCAGATGGGAAGAAGGGGGGAGTGGAGAGAGTGGGAGGAGGAGGGGAATGGAGGGAGTGGGAAGAGAGAAGGGAGGGGGAACTGGGATTGGCACAAAAAAAAAAATAAGTTAATAAAGCACCCACTGGTACCTGGTAGAGGGCTGCTTTGAATTCCCCAACTGAACATGAAGATTTTACTCAGTCCAACCTTAGTGGAACTCCTAAAGTACTAATAGCAGCATGAAAAATATGCTATATAAGTTCCTTGCAGAAAACTTAGCTTATAGAAGCTAAATGTAATCTTCATTATCAAGGCCAGAGAGATTACTCAGTAAGTCAGGGTGTTTGATGCTTGGATCCCATGTAAAAAGTCTGATGCACAAGCATGTGTTGAATCCCAGCACAGCTACAGCACAGACAAGAGACTCTCCCAGAAGCCTGCAGTACAGCTAGCCTGGGGGACACAGCACGGCAACAAAAAGAGATCCTGTTTCAAACAAGGTGGGAGGTTAGGACCAGGACCAGAATTTAAAGTTGTCCGCTGACCTCTCTGCCTATGCTGTGGCATGTCCCTGCCCTCATGTACAAATATGCATGCACACACCAATGGTTTTAAGATTTGTTTTTATTACTTTTACTTACATGCAGGTGTGTGTATCTGCAAGCGGGAATGTGCACTTGAGTGCAGGTCCCCGCTGAGACCAAAGGCATCAGATCCCTAGAGCTAGTTATAGGTGACTAAAGTGCCTGATGTGGGTGCTGAGAACTGAACTCTGGTCCTCTGGAAGAGCAGCAAGTACAGGGTTTTTCTGTGTAGCCCTGAGTGGCCTAGAACTCGTTCTGTAGACCAGGCTGGACTCAAACTCGCAGAGATCTGCCTGCTTCTGCCTCCAAATGCCAGATTAAAGACATATGCCACTACTCCCTGGCTCAGCAAGTACTCTTAGCTGCTGAGCCATCTCTCCAGCCCTATAAGTAAATTTTTCAAAACTGACATTTCAAGGACAATGAGATGGTTCAGCAGGTACCTGATGACCTGAGTTTGATCCTTGGGAACAACAGTGGAAGGAGACAACCAACTCCTGCAAACTGTCCTCTGACCTACACACACACACACACACACACTCACCCTTCACACACACACACACACACACTCACCATTCACACACACACACACTCACCATTCACACACACACACACTCACCATTCACACACACACACACACACCATTCACAAATAAATGTCATTTTTTAAATTTAATGGTTTATATCAACCTTCCAGCTATATAAACACAGAAAACTACCTCTTGAATTATGTCTTCAGTCCCCCAAGAATTCACTTGTTGCACATTATTAATGATTATATTTTACAAAATCAAATTAAATACATTCTTTCCACAAACACGAAATGGAAATCAAGGCATCTATCAAAGCCTGAGTCAAGCCCTTGGTTTCTGAATTCAGCAGCTGATCATGATTCTGGCCCAGGCCCACCAGTCCATGACTTCAGATAATCCAGGATCCTTTGAGTAACAGGAACAGACTTTTCTGGATATTCTGCAAATGTTTGCACATAAGACCCTTCAATGGGTTCATTTATTTCCCTCTCTAAGTCAGAGACTTCACTTGTCGAAACGGGTATTTCATTCCTTGAGCCATCCTTTTGCTCTACCCCATCACCTTAAAAAAAAAGAAAAGAACTTAGACACCAGTCATTAATGTCTTGAACATAAACCAAGGTATGATTATGCTATCAGATGTCTATACATGATGACCATGTGAGCTTTCAAACCACTAGCAGCCTTCATGACAAATAGAATTTGCAGTTCTTACACATGGCTTTATTAAGCTATACCTAACATATCATACAAATTCCTTCTACAAAGCACAATGCAATGGTTTTTAGTCTATTCGGTCGAGCAACCCGGTATAACTGATTTAGAGTATCTTCAGCCACTAAAAGTCACTAACACTCCAGACCCTAGCGATTACACCGATTTGTGATTCCTTCGATTTCCAGCACGTAATTTGAAGTTTCCGGGGGTTCCTTTTCCACCCAATAACTAGGATGATTTTAAAACTCCTTGGTTGCTGTTAAGGCCTGAAACTGCTTGCTCTCAAGGAAATGAGCAGCATTCTGGCCACCATCAGAACCTTTGGATCCACCAGGCACTACCCAGGTGAATTCACACGTTCCAACTGAACATGGGGACAGTGTTAGTTAATAAATAAGATCCAGGTGACAATACTTAATAGTTCCTGGATGAGTCTTGTTCTTTGCAGATTCCATCACTGCAAATTATCCAAGTATCTGCTTGCAGCAGTTTTGCATTACTCCAGGGTTCAAGCACTGAAGGTCGTCTTCGATGATTCCCAGGGCGAAGAGCGGGAAGCAGCGGCTACGAGGCCGATCTCTCCAGGGAAAACCTACCTGACGCCTTCTGTTTGCGTGTAAGGAAAATCGCCGAGCCCAGCACCGACCAGGCGCCGATTGCATACACGACAGACATTCGCCGGTACCACTGGGAAGCCTGATCAGGACGCATGTCTCCACAGGGCAGAGTCATAGAGCTCACGTGGAGGAAGGCCTCCCAATCAGTATGTCCCAGCGGCCACCAATAGGTAGTCAGCCCTAAACTACTTCCTGCTCCAGCCGCGATGCATCTAGGGACTCGTAGTCCACAATTAATCTAGGCTAGGACTATAGGCTTTAATCTAAGGAACCATAGTTTAAACACTCAGCTGCCAGCTGGCGAGTACACTGCATACTAGCAGATGGCTACTTGAAACTTCCTCACTTGAAAATTTGAAATGGCTTACTCCATTTCCTTTAACGGCTGTCAGATTTTGGAAAACACTGTCTGGAACTCGCTTTTCTCCTATGTACCTATCTTGAACTCTAGGTCTAATTCTTTGGGGCTCCCTTGGTCCTTTCCCAATTCCACCCTATCGCTTTTCACCCTGTTGGCTTTCATCCTCTCGAATACAAAAGTGCATACATCTTTTTTTTAAAAAAAGCCTTTGATTCCATCGACTGCTCGGCCCTGTGTTTTGTAGGTGGTAGGTACCAAGTACTGAATTCCTACAGACACGGACCAGTGCATCACATCCCGAGATGCTGAACAAGGTCCTGAAGGATTTATGACTTGTTGCAGCCAATGATTCCTGTGGGACTTTGCTCCAAATTCTATGTCTCTTTAGTGCTTCTTCCAAGCATAATTTGTATGCACACCAGGAGACTGAATTCAAACCTGAGAGCAAGTCTGAGATGTTTACCTGGAACTTGACTATTTCAGTCCCACTTAAACTTGACTTTTAAGACAACTGACACCATTGACCCTGCATGCTTTTCTGGTGGCTTCAAAAACATCTTCCCTGTTCTGTTCCAGGGTCCCTTTTACATTTATGTTGACCCTATAGAAATATATAACATTTAACTCAAAGGGGGCTGTGTGTTTAAATCTAAAAATTAAAATTATAAACCTACAAAAGAACAATCTTGGCCATCCTGGATTGGGAGATTTCTTGGGATACAAGAAGCATGAACAACACAATGAAAGCTGATTAATTGGACCTAAAAGTCATATTTGAGAGAAATGAAATCAAGCCACTGAATAAAAAAGTTTAAGGTCACACTCCACCTAATTTTGTGACATGACTACCAGTAAACCCAAAGATCCTGTCCCCATTCCCCAGGACTGGAATCACTTGTACTCAGCTCTGTGCCTGCCTTTTCATGTGGGTGCTGGGGACCAGAGCTCAGGTCCTCCTGTTTGTACTTCATCTACTGAGGAAGGAAGCACTTCATCTTCTGATCCAGCTCCCCAGTCCAGCAGAGCAGCTGGAACTGTTGCTGATGCAAGCAGGAAATCTTATGTTGTCTTTACAAAGCTGACAGCCTTTCTTTTCAACATTTTCTTTTTATGTGTGTGTAAGTGTATGAGTGTGTATGCCACATATATATGGAAGAACAGCAAGCACTCTTGATCACTAAGCTCCCTCCCCAGGCCCTAAGGCTGAACATATAGAAATCTTACAATCTATTCCATTTGACTCCATTCCTAGTTACTTCCTCAAGAGAAAGTTCACATCCAAAGAGATCTATCCACAGCATTCATACATATTTTATTCACAGTAACAAAAGTAGAAATGAAATATCTGAGTAAAGATAGGCAAAAAGTTATATACCACTTGGCAACATATATCAATCTCAGATGGATCAGGGTAAATGAAAGGCAATCAGGTATAAAACCTAAAATCAAACTGATAAATAGAGGAGGAAAGCTGGTCAGTAGTCTATGGCCAACATGTAGGTTTCATCTAGTAAGACAGATTGTATACTTAACTGGGTAAACTTATTGAATGCAAAATACATCTCAATGCAGTTGTAAATAATTGTATTATTTCACACTTGCCTACTTTATAGGTTCAGTGGCCTTGTAGTCTCTCCAGAGCCTCTGCTCACGGTACACAGACCCACAGACTGTCAGCCGGCTGAACACTACTAGTGTGTACATCACACAAGCTCCTTAAAATGTTCAGAGGTGAACTTATGAATGCTACACTCAAGCATTCTCTTTCTGCTACTTAACTAAGGCAAGGATTATACTGACCCCTCCTTGTCTGATACCTCAGCCATCACCTCTGAACACTCTTCTGTCCCATCCTCCCTGCCATTCAAGTCCTAGTTTTTCAACCTCAGCTGACCATTTCAGCCCCTGCCTGAGGTAAGTCAGGGGCCTGCTTCGATATCAAATAGAGCTCAGGGTCTTCATGAGGTGCACTGGGCTCAGTGGCAGCCACTAAGAGAGAGCATTGAACTGTCTGGCCATATCCTCTTCATCAGCAGTCACTCTGTAGTGCTCTCCTCTCACTTCACTGGAGAGATACCTGGCCAAGCTGAGATTATCATATGATTTCTTCTGTTAATTTGTAACAGATAGGTACAATAAGGAAATTTTAGTTTCAATCTACTTACAGTTTTATATACTCTTCTACAAGATGTGTCTCAATTGAAAATTACATGAAATACTATGTAAACTCTTTCATCTAAAATATACTGTTACATAGTAAATGCTTCTAAAGCACAGAGCAGAGACAAAGGGGCACAAATATGAACTCAAAAGGTGGACAACTATAATCAGTCCAGGTGGCCTAACATCCAATTCATAGTACTATTTTAGTTTGCACTTAGGACTCACTTTCTTCTTTCCTTTGGAGCTGGCAAGATGGCTCAGTAGGTAAAGGCACTTGTTGCCAAGACTGATGGCCTGAGTTTTATTCCTGGGACTCAACAAGGTGGAAGGAGAGAACCACCTCATGCACAATGTCCCCTAATCTCCATGAGCAAGCTTGTAGGTGCTCTCTCTGTCTGTCTCTCCATCTGTCTGTATCTCTCTCTCTGTGTCTTTCATCATCTGGAACATTTTCCTTCATGTGGCATGAGAAATGACTGACATTAAACCCCTGCAGGAATGAGGGGTTTAACATTACTACCTGGTTCCAACATGAACACTATTTACATCATCACAACTGGACAAATGCTTCCTTTAGTTTTTACAATCAACTCCTACATGAAAATTAAAATTATGGCTCTAGGTTAGAATACACATTATATAAGTGTTGATAATATAAAAGTAAAAGTACAGCTAACAAAAACTGGAGGGTATGGAGGGATTTCTTAACTTCCTTACAGAACAAAAGCAGGAACTGAAAGACAGTGGCTAAAAACAAATACATCACCAACAAAACAAAACACATGGAAGAGAAGGTTACACATGGTTACTTATGAGGAACTGGCCTGGGTTTAAGAAATGGAGGGAATTTATTTAGCATAAGCTAAAAAATAAACACATCACCAACAAAACACATGGAAGATAAGGTTACACATGGTTACTTTTGAGAACTGGCCTGGGTTTAAGAAATGGAGGGAATTTATTTAGCATAAACTCTTTAGGATAAAGACTTTGTTTTGTTTTGACATGTAAATATGTATGGCACACACATATATAGAAGCATATATACACATATATCTGTAAAATTTTGATTGAAAAACAGTACTCATTCTAGGTAGGCTGTTTGGTGTCCAGGATAAATGTGTCATTACTCTGTTGAGGCCTCTTAGACCCATCGGCAATTCCTGAAGTCCACCTGGGCAGGACTGTTGCCATGATAATTACCAGTGAATCAGGGAGGTGCCCTGTAAACCATGCGACAAAGATCTCGCTTGACACATTTCATACTATTCTCCAGTTCCGTAACATTTAGATGACGAAGATCAAGATCAGAAAATAGCCCTTGAGGAACACCAGCGTGTGCGCGCGCACACACACATACAGAGAGAGACAGAGAGACAGAGACAGAGAGACAGAGACAGAGAGACAGAGACAGAGAGACAGAGACAGAGAGACAGAGAGAGAATGAATCTGCATTAGTGTCATTTTGGCCAATAATCTTCTTATCTTATCCAGATTTATTTCCTTTATGATCATTAAGGCTCACTTAAACAAGCAGTCAAAAATACATAAACTCTGATTTTATAAAGACTCTAATAAAACATTAAGGCACAAAAAGTAAGTAAACATCTACAATTAGCAGAACATTTATGACCTTATATAAATTCATGTGTAGGAAAAAAGGGAGAGAAGGACTACAAATAAATTATAACCTGAAGACATATTATGACCTGAAGACATACATATAAAAAAATTCCTTGAGTTATTTATTAGAATCTTCCAGAAATGTGAAAGGAATGTTGCTAAGGTAATATCAACAGTGTGAGCATAGTCTGACAGTGCTGTCTTGACCTTCCAGGCTGCACTGTTAGTTTAAGAGGCACTAGACACAGCCAGCTTCTTCAAGTGATCCATGAACACCTGTAGGCTGACATCGTCCGTCAGGATGGGCGCTCCGGTTTCCTGAAATGCAACCACAAAGGCTTTACTGACAAAATCCTCAACAGCCACTTAGGATTCCCAGCTGCTTGATGCCTTCTGCCTGGTCACACTCATATGTGTCCCCTTTGTTCCTCAGCACCCTGTCCTCTGCCTGGCTAATTCCATCCACCAGAAGCATTCTTTTCTCTAAACCCTTTCCTGAGATCTGGTCGTTTCTGGCCACTGCAAACAGTATATGAGTATATAATATGGCTATCTATTTCATCCCTCCCCAACCTCAAATCATCCAGAGCTCCCACCAGTTGTGAGTGCTCCGAGGCCTATACACCATTCCCTCATGGGGCACACCACTGTCAGCACCACACCTATCTCTAAAGTGCTCTGCTCTAATGCAAAGGTGTCACAGGCAAGTGAATGAGTGACACCACCAACAGATACTATTCGTAATACCAGGAACTTATGATTTAATTAATGCTCTGGGAGAAAAGACTGGATAGAAATGGCAGTTTGCAGCCAAGATCTCAAATTTGTAAAGAAATAACATCATGAAATATTTACTTTGTACTACCTAGGAATGTGGTTGTGGATAATTTCTTTCTTTCGTTCCTAAAATTCAGTTATCTTGAGGGAAAAAAAGCATGATGATACAGATAGGACAATTCCAAATATATTTTAGAGCCACAGTCACAGAAACAGATTAGTTACATTGCATTATCTAAGCAATGACTTTACTAATGTCATTGCAAAGAAAATTATTAGAGACACAGAGGACAGAACTTATGGTAAAAGGGCCAACACACTAAGAAAATAACCAAGGGCTGGAGATGCAGCTCAGTGGTACAGTGCTGACCTATTACACCAGCCCTGGTAGGCAGAGCACTAGACAGCTACATGAATATACAAAATGAAAGTAATACCAACATCAAATTCTGGCAAAAAAAAAAACTACATCATTCAGCCAGGGCTAGTAGGGATGTGAAGAGGTGTAGCTGCTCTCAAAAAAAAGTGTAGTAATTTCTTTAAAATACTAAACACACGCCGGGTGTTGGTGGCGCATGCCTTTAATCCAAGCACTCGGGAGGCAGAGGCAGGCAGATCTCTGTGAGTTCGAGGCCAGCGTGGTCTATAGAGCAAGTTCCAAGACAGCCTCCAAAACAATACAGAGAAACCCTGTCTCGAAAAAACAAAAGAAGGAAAGAAAGAAAGAAAGAAAGAATACTAAACACACAACTATAATAGAAACTATCAAATATACTCCTATACCTCTATCTCAAAGAAATAAAGTCATGTTCAAATAAAACCTGTAGTTAATTGTTTATAGCAATTTTAGTCCTAAGAGCTTAGAACTGCAAACACCCTACATGTCCTTAAATAGATGTATAACCAAATAAGTGTGAGATATGTACAATTATTGTAGATTACTACTCTGCAAGTAAAAAGGAATGGATCATTAATGCACATATCAACATGGAGCAATCTTTAGATAATTACACTTGAGTGAAAAAAACAACTATAACAGCTAATCTACTGTATGACTATATATTTATGGTTGTGTGTGTGTGTGTGTGTGTGTGTGTGTGTGTGTGTGTGTGTGTGTGTGTGTGTTGCTAAGATAGACTTGTGCATGCTAAGCAAATGCTCTACCACTGGCCTATGTTCCTAGTCCTGTGTAACCGTCTGACTAATGAATACAGAAACACTGAGCAGATTATTAAGTGCCAAATGTTAAGGATGGGGGAGTGTGGTAATGGTTATGAAAAGCAATATAAGAGATCATCATAGTGATGGAAATTTCTGTACCATTGACAATATCCTGGATATAATACTGAATTATTAATTTTCAGAACCATTAGTTTAAAAATTAGTGACAGGATCTCTTGGTATTATTATGATTTGATTTTCTTGAGACAGGGTCTCACTAACCCTGGCTAGCCTAGAACTACCTGCCTAGATCTACCTGTTCTGCAAACTGGGTACCAGAATTAAAGACATTTACCATTATGCTCAACTTTTTGTATTATTTCTGATAAATACAGATAAACTTACAGTTATCTCAAAAAACAAGTTTAATTTAAACCATTTTAAGGGTCATTGAAAGAGAAACACATTTAGAGACTAATTAGGCAAAGGAGCTGACGGTGAAGAAAAGCTACATCGATAGGGAGCAAGGGCTGCCCCAAAGGCAGGTGCATGAGGAGAGGTGCACGGAGGGCGTAGTGGTGCGTACTGCTCCTGGCACAGTAAGCTGTGTATGGAGACCCACACAGCGAGTATCCTACTCCCACCATGACTATGTTACTTGCAGCCCACACCCCAACAGTCATTCTATCAGAACCAAAACAGGTTCAACTTAGAGGCTCAAACAAGCTTTAAATAAAAGTAGCTTGATCTCCCCAGACACGTGGAATTCTTACCTGTCCCCAAGCATACAAGTTATTGTGTGTCTGAGATGGATTTACTTTAGAGAGCAGGAATCGAGCCTTTAAAAATAAAAACATTTTAAAGATTAAAAGTGTTATTAGTGTACAAAAACATCGAGTTTTTACAACATTTATTTAAATTAGATTTCTTTTTTTTTCTTTTTTCTTTTTCCTCTCTCTATTGCTTTTATCTGAAGCTCATTGGCTCCCCATCCACAAATGATTCAGACAAACTGATAATCTTATATTTTCACATAAGTACATGCATTTAACAGGAAATCACCACTAGACATAGTGAGGCACACGTGTAGTAGTTTGAATGTAATTGGTTCCCATAACCTCATAGGGAGTGGCACTATTAGGAGGTGTGGCCTTGTTGCAGTAGATGTGACCTTGGAGGAAGTATGTCACTGTGGGGGCAGGCTTTTAGATCTCCTATGCTCAGGCTATAACTAGTTCATTTCACTTCCTGTTGCCTACAGATCAAGATATAGCTCCATCTCTCAGCTCCTTCTCTAGCACCATGTCTACCTTCATGCCACCATGACCCACCATGATGATAATGGACTAACCCTCTGAACTATAAGCCATCCAATTAAGTGTTTTCCTTTATAAGAGTTGCTGTGGTCATGGTGTCTCTTCACAGCAATAGAGCACTGACCAAGACACGTAGGAAGCAAATGCATGAGGATCAAAAGCTTGAGATCAACCTGCACTACACGGTGAGTCTCAGACCAGCCTGGAAGTAAAATAAACAACTAAAACTATACAAAACTCATAGCTGAAAGAATACCTGTATATCAATTTATACCACCACATAAAATTCTGACTAGTTTATTTACATTAATATACAAAAAATAGATCATCAAACAACAAAAAAAATCCATTAGACCTAGAATGGGGTTCACCCACCTGACTGCCACCATGCTCCGTGTTGATATAACGTGGCATTGGGAAGCGTGCTTGCAGAATTTCTTGTGCATCATCCAGTGGCGCCTGCAGAAGGTGCTTGAAGTTTTCATACTCAGGCATGTCCTGATACCCAGCTTTCCGCCACTGGGCTATGGTCTATACCAAAATAAACCAACCAAAACTGCTGGTTAAGTGCTGATAGCAGCCGTCATCAATACTTGAGACATACTCCCACTAGCACAAACACAGGCCGCCAGTGAAAATGTACGATGGTGGAAAGAGAGAAATGACTCCCCCAAGCTGTCTTCTAACAGGTTCACACACACACACACACATACACACACACACACACACACACACACACACACACGCACACGCACACACGCATGCATCGAAGTAAATAACAGGAAAAAACAAAATAGGAGTCAAGAAAGACACTGATGACATCATCTTACCTCCCCGAGATAAATGACAATTTGGAAGAAAGTATCCATCAGCAGAATTCGGTCAGCTAGAATGCTGCTGCTGTCCAGGAGTACAGGCTATGGAAGAGAACAGGTGGAATTGGTCCTCCCTCTCTACACAAGAGCCACTCCAGCCCCATAGGCAAAAGCCCACAAAAAAGCAAGGAAGCTATTTATAAACGGTTCCAGCATAGGGCTGGCCCCTCCTCACACACTGCTACAATCCACTCCCCAAAACGATAGCTCTAAATCTCAGTTTTGTAGAAGATACAGGCTGTTGACACTCCTTCATTAACCGGGGATAGAAACTGATGCTAGCTTGTGGTCCAGAAGCCAAAACACATATCTGAGCTTTCTCCGTTCTGTTTCAGAGCTACTCTTAGTCAACTGATCTTTTCTCAACTACTGCAGCTATCTATAGCTAGAATGAACAAGGACGCCTGTATGAAAGACAGAATTTAATGCAAGTTTTCAAAGTTTGCCAAAAAATATATTTCATTATGGAATTTTATTTCAATAGTAAAAGTAACTTGTACTCATTTCAGAAAATCTATAGTTGGAAACAAGAAATATTGATATTTTGGTTTACTTCCATATTGTTCTTTATTTTTATAGGCTTTTAGTATTTGCAACTTAAATTTTATTTTGCTGTTATACTTTTTAATTTAAAATCTTTACTGGTTTATTTGCAAGTTGGTCAACATTGCATTCCAGTTTTTAAGGTGTTCCTGCTTTGGTACCACCAACCTCGCCAACAGCACTGAGCCTACTAGAGGCAGAGCAATCTGTGCCAGCGGTTCACTCCACAAGCATCTTCTCATTCTTCCTCTCCATTGTTTCTCTCCTCTTGCACATGTCTCAGGATGGTTTTGCTCACATATTGCTCAGTTAGGTTTTAAGGTATTGCATTTCTCCAGCCTGTTTTCCACAGGGAATTCTTTACTATACTAAAAAGTTTCTACTTTGATTTTTTTCTTTTTTTTTAACCATGTAACACTTTTACATTTTACTATGTTATATAAATTATGTGACAAGTTCTTAGAATACTTAACTATTTTCCTTCTACTGAGTACTTGGATTGCCATCTGATTCCTTTTTTTTTTTTTTTCCAGTGCCAAAACAGGTTCAAGGCATGCTCTCTACCAGGCCCAAATTCTCTTTTAGTAGTTCATTCATACTCATCTCTCTTTTAGATACTTCACAAAGATTGGAATTACTGGGCAAACAATGTGAACTCATAACATTGGGATGGTTCCCCTCAATTTATTCCTGCTTTCCACATACCAAAAACAGCTTTAGCATCTCTCTTTTGACTTTTCTTAAGTTTTTTAATACTCAGAAACAATATAAAGTTACTATAAACTCAAGGTTTTGTTTATAGTTCTGCTCTAAGACTATATTTGATAAAGGGGAAAAAAAGCCTTCATGATTAAGTCATGGCATTCTCAGAAAAATATGTACACCCAGCCTTACCTCTGGTGGTCCATGGAAGGAATAAGAATAGAGAATGGGCTGGATCATGATGAGGGACTGGGTCAGATCCTGTCTGGCAAAATGGTGTCTATAATAGGATGACTCATCAGGACTGTTGTTAAACACTTGAAGAAATGGAGATCTTCTCAGATGGAACATAAACTGCATGTACAAAAGAAAAAGACAAAAGAATACATCTGTGACACTGGACATGCAGAGCCATCTACTCCGGATCTCTAAAACATGAAACCTGGGCCCTGAGAAAAGTATCTTTGGGTTCACAGAAACACAAAAAGGGTGGTAGCAGAGCTGGTGGAGAGGGAAACAGGGAGTGCCTTTTACTGGGTATACAATTCCAGGTGGGTTTTGCTCGTTTTATGACATGATCTATGTGTCTGGCCTCAAACCTAAGACCCTCAAAATGCTGAAATTACAAGCATGTGTCACCATATTTGGCTCAGTACGATAAAAAGAAAAAATTAGAGCTCTGGTACACAAGAAAGTGAATGTGGAGGCTGGAGAGATGGCTCAGCAGTTAAGAGGATCAGGGTTCAATTCTCAGCACCCATTTGGCAGCTCACAACTATCTAACTCCAGTTGCAGGGAATCAGACACCATCACATAAACATACGATCAGGAAAAACACCAATGCACATAAAATAAAAAAAAATAAATCATAAAAAGAATGTGAATGTACTTATTACCACAGTTATACATTTCAAAGGGGCTAAGATGATAAACTTGAGGCTAGAGAGTTGCTGCTCCTGCAGAGGATCTAAGTTTACCTCCCAGCACCCAAGTCAGATGGCTCACAAGTACCCATAATTCCAGCTCTAAGGGGTCCATTGCCCTCCCTGAAGGCACTGCACTCTTGTGCATATAACCACACATAGCCCTGCATACACAGAATAAGTCTTTTTTTTTAAATGATAAGTTTTTGCCTTTAACCCCAGCACTCAGGAGGTAGCCTCAGTGAGTTCCAGAACAGCCAGAGCTACACAGAGAAACCCTGTCTCAAAATACAAACAAACAAAAAAAAAAAAAAAGGAAAAAAAGTAAGTTTTTTGCCCACATGTGGTGTATATATATATGCATATGTGTGGCCAAACATTTATGTGTGTGTACCTATGTGTATACACATGTGGAGACACCAAGTTGATGTCCTATGTCTTTCTCTATCACTCTCTACATTTCCTTATTGAGGCAGGTTCTCTCATTTGAACCCAGAGCTTGCCAATAGGTTACCCTAGTTATCCAGCTTGCCCTGGAGACCCCATCTCTAACTCCTGAGCACTGGGATTATAAACAGCCACTACATCTACCCAGCTTTTATTTGGGTACTGGGGATCTCCTTAGGGTCCAAGATGATAAATTTTGTCTTTTTTTTTTTAACCACAATTTTAAAAATGTCTTACAATTGTTGCTTTTAAGTGTCATTTTTAGGTACTTTGGTGTTTTGTTTTTAAAGACAAAGATCTTGGAGCCTGTGCTAACCTTAAAGTCCTAATCTTCCTGCCTCCACTTCCCAAGTGCTGGGATTATAGGTTTGTGCCATTACACCCAGGAAGATTTTTTCTTTTTTTTTTTTAATGACTTGGCCCTTTTTTGTATTTGCTTGTTTCATATGCATGGATGCTTGCTTTCATTTATGCATGCAGTCCCCAAGGAGGCAAGAAATTGGGAATTGTACCTGTATCCTCTGGAAGAGCAATCAGTGATTTTAACTGCTCAGCCACCTCTTCAACCCCTTAAAGATTTATTTGACTTTTAATTATGGGGATGGAGACAGGTGCATATGAGTGAAGATGTCCAGAATCCAAAAGTGTCAGATCTCCTGGAGCTGGAGTTTTCTGTAACTGTGAGCCACATGACATAGGTGCTAGGAACCAAGCTTAGGTCCTCTGAAAAGAATACTATACACTCAACAACTGAGCCACCTCCCTAGCCCTTCCAGTGAGATTTTTACATTTTACTTTATTTATATTTTATGTATGTGTGCCTATGTGTTTGTATGTCACATGTTGGTACCCAAGAATGCAACAAGAGGGTGTTGGGTCCTTGGAGCTGGAGCCACAAGTAGTTGTGAGCCACCTGATGTCTGGAGACCCAACTTAGGTCCCCTAATGGCAGCAACCACTGTTTTGCTTGAGCCATTTGTCCAGCCCCCAGCTTTTGCTTGTCCTGTTTCTTTTCTTTTTTTTTTTTTTTTGGTTTTACGAGACAGGGTTTCTCTGTATTGTTTTGGAGGCTGTCAGTCCAGCCTGGCCTCGAACTCACAGAGATCTGCCTGCCTCTGCCTCCGGAGTGCTGGGATTAAAGACGTGCACCACCACCACCCGGCGCTTGTCCTGTTTCTTAATAAACTCTTCCATTAAGGAGTACAGTATGGAAACACCAGCTGAGAAGGCTTTATGATTTCATCCACCAAGCATTCTAAGGTAAGAGGACTCTCTTATACTATGTTCAACCCTCAACTGTGCTTTTCCCCTGGGTTCATTTTCGTTGGGAACAGATTATCTTTCTCTTTAGTAAGTCCCTGGAGAGTACAGGACTTCTCCACCCCAGGACCCTGGAGGGTGGAGGCTCAGGAGGTCCAGTGGACCCAGGTGGTGGGCACAAGCACATCTGTCTGCTTTTCACACTGGCTTCTGAAAGAGAAGGCAAGGCTTTCACGGCTTTACAGAGATTTCAGATCACTGTTTCATGGCAACTCCTCCCTTCTAAAGATGAGGAAACACACTTAAAGAGGTCTAAGAGCGGCAGCAGGGCCAGTGCTGGCATTTCATCCTGACTGGCCAGCCTGGGGCTCTGACACACCACAATCCATCATCTCCAGCTCAGACACCTGAAAGTTCCAGGATCCCAGCGATTGGCTGCATTCAGGTACAAAGCACCACCCAAGTGCTGTACACTTGGTTGGCTTCAACAGGGGTTCAAAAGAGGTGGAAGAGCCTGTTTTTATAGTCAGTCTCAAATCTTAAGTCTTCCTTTGCTCTCAAGCACAGAACAGTTCAGTTCTAACAATTCATTCTTGTATAGTTAAGACCATAGTTCTTACCTGAGGATACAGAGAAAAGGAGTCTGACAATCTGAAAGACGTTGGGTCTTCTTTGTTATACTGCCCAAACTTCTGACACTATTGGAAGAAAACAGGACAACAAAGAGTAAGTTGTGCCACCTAGAAAAGTCCCAGACCAAAGAGCTATCGAGTGTGCTAGCTCTAATGAATTCTGTACCACATACCTCAAGCATGAAGAGCAAACAAATCACCAGGTCTTTTTAAAACACAGACCTTGATGACTAGAAGGAGAGTTCAGTGGTATAACACTTACTCAGCATGCTCAAGGCCCTGGATTCATCCCCAGGATTTGAGGGTAGGAGGATCACTCTGGGGTAAGAGTGGGAGATTCTAAATCTCAAACCAACTGGAGGCAATGCTGGCCTGAGGACCATTCTAACCACAGATTGTTCAGCAAGCTCTCTGAGGCACCTCTCAGACCATGAACACTAGCAATTACAGATCAACCTTGCTGTTCTCTGGTATTAGGATTCAGTTTTCTTCCTCCTTTCAATGATAGTTTCTGAACCAGAATGTATTCCTGATTTAGTTAGTCAGCTACTTAGTCAGTTAGCTAATTATTTATGCTTTATGAGACGAGGTCATAATAGCCTCAAATGCATGGTGATTCTCCTGCCTTCCAAGTGCCTGCATGCAGTTCTGGGGATTCATCAGGTCTGAGATTCTAGAGCACAATTGAGACTCCAGCCTCAGTGTGCTTCAGGTGAGAAACTTCCTTGGGAACGGCTTTTCCCAACACCCACATGGTAGACTTTGTCTAATTCTAAAGTTTCTAGCAAGTTCCTTGGGTACAGCACCATGACATTTTCTCTGCTACCAAAGACACGCTGAGCTACAGTCATGCCCTTCTAACTAGGTCTGATCAGTCCTGTGGGGGAAGGCCTCTTCCTTGTGTTCTCTGTCTCAGTCCTAGATGTAGCAAGCGTGCTTCTATGTGCCAGTTGTCTTCTCAATAGTCAACCCCTCTGTCATCAGCACTCTGCGCTTCCTGGACACAGGGCCTTCCACATGCTAGGCAAACTCCCTACCACTGATCTATAACCCCTCAACTCTAGTGACTTTTTTTTAATTAACTTATTTTTATTTTATATGCATTGTTGTTTTGCCTGCATGTGTATCTGCACATGGGTGTTGGGTCCCCTGGACCTAGCTTACAGACAGTTGTGAGCTGCCATGTGGATGCTGGGAATTGAACCAGGGTCCTTTGGAAGAGTAGCCAAAGCTCTTAACCATTGAGTTATCTCTCCAGCCCCATGACTTTTAATTTGAAAGTTTTCCCTCTTAAATTATTATTTGTATTCACTTGGATTATTAACTTTTGGTTTTCAGATGAGTCTCAACAAGGTCTTAATAAGTAGTTCATGTTGGCCTCAGGCTAGTGACCCTTCCTGTCTCCACCTCCCCAGTGCAGGAATTATAGGCCTACACCACCACACCTGGCTTCTTCTGTCTGTTCTTTCTCTCCTAATCAGACCTGAATAACACATAAAACATTTCCCTAAACTAATTGTGTCTAAAACCTCCTTTATGACTCTTCTACTCAGCTTTTAACACACCCAGAATTGTACCACTCCCCAAATGTTCCATACATGTTGTTTCCTACAAACTGCAATGTCAGCCCTTGAGGGGAAATGTAAATAAAATTTAACATTTCTTTCACATCCAGCATTTGGACTAAAGTGAGCCACTACTAAATTCTTGCTGATTGGGGCTGGAGAGATGGCTCAGCAGTTGGGAGCATTGACTGCTCTTCTAGAGGACCTGGGTTCAATTCCCAGCAACCACATGGCACTCACAACTGTCTGTAACTCCAGTTCCAGGACTTTGACACCCTCACATACACATACATGTAGGCAAAACACCAGTGCACTAGAAGTAAAAGGTAAAAATTCTTTCTTATTGATTATATAAAATAATAGGCTTTGTAGCTGGAAAGATGTCCCAGTGGTTAGCAGCACTAACTGTTCTTGAAGAAGACTAGGGTTCACTTTCCAGAACCAACACTTCAGTTCACAACCTCCCATAACTTCAGTTCCAAGGGTATCCAACACCGTCTTCTTACCCCCACAGCCACAGGTTCCTACACACACTTGCTATACATATATACATATATGTGAGTGCACACAAACACACACACACACACAAATAAACAAATAAATGGCTTTAAAAACATAAAAAATAAAGACTTAAGTGGGAATTTTCTTTTTCCCAAAGGTAGAAGAGACACAAGGAGTAAACTCAATGCCATTGTTCCCAGGTTACCAGTCGGATGAGTTGTCGATCCAGCCACCGGAGCACATCAGGGCCCTCCTCTGATTCTGCCCGGAACACTCCAAGCCGTGCCATCAAGACTGCTGCAGCCTCCTGGTCAAACGCTGCTTCTATGTGCCTCAGCTGACTCTGTGCATCTGCCCAACTGACAATTAATCCAGAGTTAGGGCTGAACTTCGGATCAGGAGCTACCAAAGGCTAGATCTCTGCTCAGGTAAGTCCAGACCCTATTCCTTTGTCCAAGACAAGGTGGCACTACAGTTTCATTAAGAAGTTTGATAATCACTTTAGTCACCCCCGAGTGACTAAACACCAAACACAACAGTAGACACCTAAAAAGTTAAGTCTAAATCCAATGCCCCTTCCTCTAGGCCAATCCTTACAAAAACCTAAGCATTTACAACTTTATAAAATGACTTCTCAGTATCATACCCTTGGAAAAATGAATTAAGAACATGTTTTAAAGTTTTTCAGGTAACTAAAGACAAAAAGTGCTAAAAGGCCACAGAAAAGCATATCCAAAATACAGGAATATTCTTTGCAAATTGATGGAGAAAAGGAGATAGGCTTTACACATCTGGGTATGGAGGCACTTGCATGTAAACCCAGCACTTGAGAGGTGGAGACAGAAAAGATAAGGAATTTAAGTCACACTCAACTACATAGCGAGTTCAAGATCAGCCTAACTACATGACAATGGGTCTCAAAAAAAGCAAGAAAACAAGAAACAAAAGAGGAAAGAAAATGTTCTATAAAATATGGGCAAAGACTACCAGGCAGTGGTGGCCAATGCCTTTAATCCCAGCACTTGGGAGGCAAAGAACTCTGAGTTCAATTTATCCTGGACAACAGAGTGAGTTCCAAGCTAGCCAAAACTACAGAGAAACCCTGTCTCGAACCCCGCCCCCCCCAAGAGGCAAAGACTCTGAGATGGTCAGCACTATGAGCTTTGTCAATCTGACACAACCTAGAATCAGCTGGGATGAAAGTGTCAATCAGGGATTGCCTAAATCACATTGCCTGTGTGCATGTCTATAAGAGCTTTTTCTCTTTGCCCTTTTTGGTTTTTCAAGACAGGGTTTCTCTGTATTGTCTTGGAGGCTGTCCTGGCACTTACTCTGTAGACCAGGTTGGCCTCGAACTCACAGAGATCCACCTGCCTCTGCCTCCCGAGTGCTGGGCTTTAAAGGCATGTGCCACCTACGCCTGGCTTCTCTTTGCCCTTTAAAAAGAGACTTTTTTTTAAGTCCATGTGAGTGTAAAAGTGTGTGTGTCTGACCCACAGCTAAACACTAAACTGAACTCCTGGAATCCTGTAACAGAGAGGGAAGACTGATGAGCAAAGACTGGGCTGGTTTAACCCACAGAAACAGCTGACCTGAACAAGGGGGAACTCTTGGACCCCAGACTGATGGCTGCGAGGACAGCATGGGACTGATCCAGACCCCCTGAATGTGTGTGTCAGTGAGAAGGCCTAGGCAATCTATGGGGCCTTGGGTAGTAGATCAGTATTTCTCCCTGGCGTACAAATGGATTTTGGGTGCCCATCCCACAATGAGGTATGCTCTCTCAGCCTGGACTCTTGGAGGACCTAGGCCCTGCCCTGGATGAAATGATACACTCTGGAGATCCCCCATGGAGGGCTTCACCCTCCCTGGGGATCCGAGTGGGGATTGGGAGGGAGGCTGGGGGGCTGGTGGGGAGGGAAAGGGAGCTGGGGTTGACATGTGAAGCAAGCTTGTTTCTAATTTAAATTTAAAAAATAAAAAAGAATGATGCTAAGTATAACTTTAAAAAAAACAACAACAACAAAAAGAAAAGTGTGTGTGTCTGAAACTAGCGTAATAGGCAGTTGTGAACCATTCAGCATTGGTGCTAGGAGCCCAAATACAGCTCTCTGCAAGAGCAAGCAGTATTAACTATTGAGTTATCTCTCTATAGCCCTCAATTATTTTCTTCATTGGGGTGGGAAGACCCAGCCCATTGTAGGTGTTACCACTGTCTGGAAAGACATGAGTTGAGCAGTAGGCATAAATTTATTTTCTCTCTACAGATGTGAGTGCAAATGTGACCAGCTCCCTCAAGCTTCTGCCACTGTGACACCCCCTCTATGAGAACTATAATCCAGTTGTGAGCTAAAATAAACCCTTTCTCTCCTACCTTGCTTTTTGTTGGGGTACTTTATCACAGCAAAAGAAATGAACCAGAACAGGCTCTATCACAGAAGAGATAGCATGAAGTACTAGACTCATTGATGAATGGGAAATACAAATGAAAATGAGATATTACTGTTTGCATGTAAATATTAGTATCATCCACTGTTCATCAGACCTTTAAAATTTTTTTTGTCATTTTATGTGTATTGGTGTTTTACCTACATGTATGTCTGTAGGAGAGTGCCACATCTCCCGGAACTGGAGTTTCAGACAGTTGTGAGCTGCCATGTGGGTACTGAGAATTGAACCTGGATCCTCTGGAAGAGCAGCCAGTACTCCTAACCTCTGAGCTATCTCTCCAACCCTTATCACCCACTACTAATGAGGTAGTGGGATACTCTCCTTACCCATACTGAGGAAAGAACAAATCAGCCTTTAAGGACAGTAGGCTTGCAGAATCTAAAATTTCAACTTATGAAATGTCTGACATGAAATACACGTGGGGCTGAGGCTATAGCTCAGGGGTAAAGTGAGAGAGCATGAGAGAGAGGCCCTGGGTTCAACCCCCAGTCATGTGGAGAATAATATCACCAAAAATGTAGAAATTCCTAAAAATAAAATACAAAAGCAGCACTGCTGGAGTAGCATGTGAAATCCAAAAAAGGCAGCAGTCCATGCAAACTCTGCAATAGTGTGGGATCATTAGTTTAAATGAGAGGCAAACCACAGATAAACACACACCAATATAAGTACACAGACATAATAAATAAGCTGCCACACACATATACAGCAGTACAGAAATGAGGGTATGCAGTTAAATTAACATAGACTTAACTCTGAGAAGGGTAAGTAAAGACACCCATAAGCAAATAGCTATTTCTCAGTATTCACTGGAGACTCATTCCAGGACCCACTCCCTCAGATATCACAATTCATGGATGCTCAAGTCACTGATATAAAATGGCATAGTACCCCTGAGCATGCTGGTGCAAGTCTGTAATCCCAGCCCTCAGGAGACAGAGACAGCAGATCTCTGTGATCTCAAGGCTAGGCTGGTCTACATAGTAAGTTCTAGGTCAGCCAGGGTACATAGTGAGGTCCTATCTCTCTCTATACACACATACACACAAACACATATAAAGGCATGGTATTTGTAAACATCTAAATACAGTCTCCTACACATACTCATGTCTACACTACCACTGACAATGTAAATACTATACAAACAACTGTTATACTCCATTGCTTATGGAATCTATTTTAAAAAGTTCATACATGTTCAATCCAGATGTAATGTTAAAAAAATATTTTCCATTCTGGTTTGGCTAAATTTATGAATGTGAAACTGATGGATACAGAGAGCCAACTGCACTTATGCCCTATTTACAACTCTAACAGGAAGCATGAGTTACTTATCTACCAAAAAAAGAAAGATAATTTTTAATAATATTGTTACTGAAAGCTGATTCTGCTAGTTAAATAAAGGTTCAATTGGGTTAGCCAGGTCAGTGAGGAGCTGAGAGAACCATCTAAGGGAATCAGAAAGACAAAAACTCAAAGAAGTTAACTCTCACAGGAAAAGCATCAGCCTTGGCTCAAGAGGAAGGAAACAAGATGCTCACTTGCGGGCAATGGTGGTCACTCGGATGCGTTTCTGAGTGCTGGAATGCTGGTACTGCGTGACGAACTGGATGGCACCTCTGCCTCCCTGGGGAATCGGGGCATTGTGCTGCGGGGTGGGAGGCCACATTTGGTTACTGTCAAAGGCATGACTTAAACACAACCCTTTAAAGCACTGAGGTAAGGTTCTTGGTACATTTCTTTTTTTTTTTTTAAACTTTCTCTTGTTTTTTTTTTTAAGATTTATTTATTTATTTATTATGAATACACCATCCTGCCTCCATGTATGTCTGCACGCCAGAAGAGGGCACCAGATCTCATTACAGATGGTTGTGAGCCACCATATGGTTGCTGGGAATTGAACTCAGGACCTCTGGAAGAGCAGTCAGTGCTCTTAACCCCTGAGCCATCTCTCCAGCCCCCTCTTGGTACATTTCAATGATACACTTAAAACCTGCATGGGATCACTGTATACTAGCTGTTATCCAAAAGTCAGAGGTGGAGCCAGGCGGTGGTGACACATGCCTTTAATCCCAGCACCTGGGAAGCAGAGGAAGGTGGATCTCTGTGAATTCGAGACCCAGCCTGGTCTACAAAGAACTAGCTCCAGGACAGGCTCCGAAGTTACACAAGGAAATCCTGTCTTGAAAAAACAAAACAAAACAAAAAAACACAAAACAAAACCAAAAACCAAAAACAAAACAAAAAAACAAAAACAAAACAAAAAAACAAAAACAAAATAAAAACAAAAATAAAAGGCAGAGGTGGGAGGGACAGGCATTAGTAAATTCAAAAGAATTGGGGCTGGGTGTGTGGCTTAGTAGTAGATCATGTGCTTACACTCCAAGAGGCCCTGGGTTCAGTCTCCAGTGTCAGAAGGAATAAAAGTGAATCCAGTTAATGATATTGGTGCCAAATTATTAAGAATGAAAACCACTGGTGACTGCAAGTTGCTCTGAAATACATCAAAAATAAGCCAGGTATGATAGCACACACCTGTACTTTCAGCACTTTGAATATGGAAGCAGAAGGATCAGGAGTTCATGGTCATCCAGGTCTATAAGACACCTTGCCTCATCTCCCCTCTACCCACAAAAGCATCAAAAATAAAATGGTGCAACAGATATTTAACAACGCAGCTGTAGTAAATGTTGATTATAGAATCTAGATTGTGGTTTTGCAGCTGTTGTGTATACAAGTCTTTGTAATTTTTCATAACAAAATACTAGAGAAAGTTTAACACCCTCAAAAATTCATGAGTATTACTATGACGGCTGAGAAAAGCCAGTACTCCTCTCAGGGCCTTGTCAGCTCAACAATAAAGTAATTTGCTATTTGATTCTAACTAAATGCTGGAGGGAATTTAGAAAGAACACACCAGATTAACGTAACACCTAATATGATACCAAAGCAGTACCAGGATGGGGAAAAGAGTGCCTTTAGAATAAATTAGAAGATACTGTAATAATGTGCAACCCACCTGATTGACAACTTCAAAGTAGATGCCAAGAGTAGACGTGGGATCCAGGCCACAGATTTTCCACTGACTTGTGCCACCAACACCAAGTTCCTAGGGATGAGAAGAGGAATTTCAAAAAGATATATGCAAAAATGAAACCCAAGGGAAACCACTAATAAAAGGCAGCAATTGAGCAGGGTAGGTCACCTGGAACATTTACTTAAGTTGAAACTTTAAATTCCAGTGAAAATGTCTAGGAAATGTGTAATTACAGGCCAGATGGAGTCTTAATGTTTATATATATTTACAGTACTTTTTAAGTTTTTTATGCTGACACTCTAAGTCATTTTAGTGTATCATACATATAACATACATATAGTACATAATACTGAATCAATGAAGAATCATATTGAGTTCGGAGGAACACAGAGAAGAATTATCTACTGGTTTGAAAGTTGCATGTGCTTTTCCCATCACTACTAGAATAAGAAATCACCCAGAAAAAATATGTAACAGACAGAAGCTTTAACCAGACCCTAGTCTATCTTGAAGGAAGGAAAGTAACAGCTTTCAGTGTCATAGAAACATAAAAGCACAGAAAGAACCAAAAGGTGAGGGCTAGTTTAGGGTTTGAAAAAACTAAGGGTATGGTACTGAAGGTAAAGCTGATGGGATTGGCAACGGCCACAGGGGGCAGTTAGGAAGAAAATGGGAAAAGAATGCAGACCAAATGTCATTTCTGCAAGATTACTGTTCATTTTCTCAGACTTGGCAATGAGGAAATAGTATAACATCCTTATTTTTAGAATGTGCACATTGTATTGCTTAAGAACAAAGTGTCATGTCTGAAAGTTATTTCCAAAGGGTCTGTACAAAATGTTCGTAAAGCAAATATACCAGAAGATCCTAACCACACAGGGAGGGCAACTGTGGCACCAACAGCTATGGCATACCACCAACACCTGGTGGTCCTCCAGGAACTGTATTCTTCCTCAGACCACTGTATGCTTAAAGTTGTGCTTTCTTTTTTCTTTTTCTTTCTTTTTCTTTTTCTTTTTTTTTTTTTTTTTTTTTTTTTGCATCCTCAATCCCCAACCAAAACTTGCAATGCTGAATTCAACTGGAAGGTTAATCAGTGTGTTCCAATTTTTTAAAAGTATCTTTTTAATCTACTCCAGGAAGTCACCTTTATCAGGGAGAGTTTAAAGTTCACAGATGGGGCAACCTTCCAAAGCCCTTCCAGGAAAACAGGGGTGATGCAAGTCTCTTAGCACACTGAGATAATTAGATAATCTTCAGATGGTCTTTGGGAAAGAAACTGTCTCATCCAAGGACTAAAAAGATTTATACAAACAGTAGCTCCTGCCAAGCTTGACAAAACGTTCATTTATCGAGTCACTGTTGATGTCTGTTCTGACATAGACAGATAATGTATACAGGACTCCAGTGTGTACTTGTCCCAAGTGCTTCATTTGACCAACCTCATTTAGTCCTAACATTCTTCAGCAGGTACTGTTATTCCTGTTAAGAATTTTGCTGCTCAACTACTAAGAAGTAGCGACAAACCCTAAATGCACAACAGCTCTACAGTCCACCCTCCCACTGTGAATGACACGGGAAGGACAGACAGGACTGTGGAACAACATCCCCAGACTACCTCAGAGATTGCAGTGATACATACACTTTTATGAAAATAGATAGATACATCTTGATCACTGGCCATCCTACTGTGTAATTAATCTGTTTAAGTGTAACCTTAAAAGAACAATGGAACACCAACCTTACTTGGCTTGGATCGTCCAAGAAAGAGCTTTTACAACCTAAGCTAATGCATAGCTTTAATCTTAAGTAATGTACTCTCCCATACCCCTGGTCCAGAGTAATGTATATGTGTATATGTATGTACTGACATACGTATTTGTAATCATTTGTTGAAAGCAGTCAATAGGCTGGAAACAACTTGTAATAACAAATATCCACCATACATGTTAGAAACAATATACAGACATAGCTTGTTTGTAGTACTGAGTGCTTCTGGGTCAGTCAGGGTCAGTAAAATGACCTTTCCCCTTGTAAAACTGTTAGTGATTTCTGTAAAGTTGTCATTTCTTTCCAATGGGATCCTTTCTGTGTTGTTCAATAAATACTAGGAGACTGTCAGGGACAGTGAGACACCAGACAGCATTCAGACAGGCACAGACACATACTGCAGAAATTACAGATAGGCCAGTAACCACAAACTACAGACAAACAGAAGTGGATAATTCAAACTTGGGCCTTTTCTGGATCAAATTAATCAGAGGAAGTCTGTGATTTCATTCCTGGATGCAACATTGATACATTTTCATACCTGTGAGGTGAGGTTAATGCAATGCAAAAGAGACCTCATAAACCAGATGCCATGCCTTTTCAGCTAAAGCATACTCATAGCATGTGGGCCATCAGCAAAGCCACTTTCCCCAAGGGCTGACTAACCTTTGCTCTCATACATTAACGATGTATATGCATCTGTGTCATCCACTGTCTGACCAACTCAGTGGTCCCTTGTACTAAGCTGCTTTATCAGCTGAGTGAGACAAGGGTACCAACTCTTTTTATTCTGGAAGAATTCTGAATGTCTGCCTTTGCTGTAGGGGCTGGCTTTTTGTTCTTGGTGGGACAGCATCCTCACATCAGATGTAGTCAGAGGAACCTGACATCTGGCTCCTCTAGGTCAGTTTCAACCATGAGCAAGGAAGGGTTAACTTAACCTCTACATTTCCTTCTCTGATGGACAGATAACACTATCTCTTGGAGTTATCATGAATGAGGATTAGAGCTCCCCTCATACAATACACCTCACAGGTGACACAACGCAAGATTATCACTGTGTGACTTAGCTAATGAGTTTACTCCAGGGCAGGTGAGGGTAATGATTTTTCCTTACATTTTCTGACACACACGGTCCTTTCACATTCAGAGATACACACGGACCAATGGCTCCTGCAATCTTCAGTTCCCGAGAGGTCTAAAACAAATTGCACAATAAGTTAAGAGCCGGTCTGCTGTCACCATGCTCACAATAATAGCTTAGAGGAAAAGTCCCACAGAAAAACTCTCTAATGAATTACACAATTCAAATGCCCACTCAAGCTTTTCCAGGAACACCAGGAACAAAATCCTCGTTGGAAAACACATAAAGAAGACCAGGTGTAGAGGCGCAACAGTAATCCTCAGCAGGCTGAGACAAAAGATCAGGAGTTAAAGGTCAGCCTCACTATATAGCGAATTTGCGATCAGCTTGGGTACATGGGACTGTCTCAAAAAAAAAAATCAAAACAAAAAGGCACAGTAAAAACAAAAACAAACAAAAAGTAGCTGGGCATGATGGCACATGCCTTTAATTCCAGAACTTGGGAGGCAGAGGCAGGTGGATCTCTGTGAGTTTGAGGCTAGCCTGGTCTACAAAGCGAGTTCCAGAACAGCCAGTACTCTGTTACATAGAAATTCTATCTGGAAAATACAAAGACACAGTAAGGTAGCTTTTTACACCATTCATTTGTTTGAAGCAGGATCCCTAAGAAGTAGCTGAGACAAACCTGGAAATCTCTAGACAGCCCACGTTGCTTATACTCACAATCTTCCTGCCTCTGCTTAAGTGCCAGGATACAGGCATGCATAACAACACCTGGCCAGGTGGCATTTTCAACTCTTAATTCACTTTTTAACATCTGAAACTATTATACTATACCCATGAAAGGTAACAATTCTACCAAATATACTACAGTCTCCAAATACCATGCATATCCATACTCATTTACATAATTCTAATCAGGAAACATATTATTTTAAAAATATTTAATTCACAAATCCCAGTATAATGATAAGAAAGACCAATGGATATTTTCTTTTTACTTTCCTTTTCCTTCTTTTTTTTTTGAGACAGGGCCTCTCTATATAGTTGACTATGCTGGAACTCACTATATAGAGCACCCTGGCCTCAAATTCATAGATTCCCCTGCCTTTGATTTTTTTTTTTTAATAAATGGAGACTTTTTTTTTTAAAGACTGAATTCACTTTATTGAAGTAAATTCAGACTTACACAATAAAGTGAATTCTGTCCATTCCTTTTTGTTTGGGGGTAGGCAGGGTTTTGAGAAAGTGTTTCTCTGTGCAGTCCTGAAACTTGCTCTATATACCAGGCTGGCCTTGAACTCAGAGATCTGCTGCCTCTGTCTCCCAAGTCAAGCATACATATGCTTTTACATGGATGCTGGGGGTACTAGCCCAAGAAACACTTAAACAACAGGCACTTTGCCCAATGAGCCATCTCCCTACTCCTTTCTTTTGTTATAGCCTCCAACTCTGCTAACCAAACAAACACCTCAAACATTTTTTTAAAAAGCTGGTTAAAGGTTATCCTAGATAATCTAATGCTTTTCTCTAATTCTCTAACCACAGTTTCTAATGGCCTCTTTCAATGGTTTCTCAATGACTTAAGAGTCAGTTGTCTAGGACTGTGATTTCCTACAAAGAAATACAAACTTTAAACTCATGATGCTCTTAGAAGACCTGGGTTCTTCTTAAATATAAACCCTACTCTGTGCTGTTACTGAATATTTGTTTATACTGTGTGAAGATGTGCCACTGTGATAAGTTTAATAAAGAGCTAAACGGCCAATAGCTAAGCAGGAGAAAATAGGTGGGACTTCCGGGAGAGAGAGAGAGGATTCTGGGAAGAAGAGAGGTGGAGACGTCAGCAAGACACTAAAGAAGTACAGAGGAGAGGTAACAGAGACATGTGGCAGAATATAGATTAAAAGATACTGGTTAATTTAAGTTACAAGAGCTAGTTGAGAAAAAGCCTAAGCTAAGGTCAAGCTTTCATAATTAATAATAAGGCCCCATGCCACTATTTGTGAGCTGGTAGCACAAGGAAAAGTCTGACTACAATGTGCAATGCAGTGACTCACACCAATGAGGTGTGATACTGACCATGTGTAACTTCCTGTCCCCAAACCCAGGAGCAACCAACACCCACCCAAGTCCCTCTAACTCTACTTATCCTAAAGTGGGATAGAGCAGAGCAGAGCAGGCAGGGTCTGAAGGGACCAGGAACTTTATGTTTAGAACTTTGATAAATACAGAGGTCACCCTTGAGAAGCAAAGGACTAGAGTAGGCATCTTTGTAATAGCCATCTGGTTGGATCCTTTTAAGTGGCCGTTAGAGTTTATATCTATGAGCTGAGCCTGCCAGGATCTAAAGTGAACCTGTAGTAACACTAACCTAGTAAAGTTTCAGAAGTCTATAATATGGGTAGGTATAATGGAGCACACAGAAGGAAGAAACAAGTGAATCTTTGTAGTTCAAGGCCAGCCTGGTTTGTATGGCAAGTTCCAGGCCAGCTGAGGATACAAATAAATAATAAATAAGTAAATGTTTATTATGTATATATAAAAAATTTCATAAGTTAATTATATGAGATAAGTTAAAATAAAACTTTTCTAAAAGCCTACTGTACCTTTACTTCCAATGTAGCACCAAAGGCCATTCTGAAATCTCCATTGAAGTCTTTACTAAAAATTCTTTGGAATGTCTGCTTGAAAAGAGAAGTGTTGAAAGAATCTCCCATCACCATGTGGCCTCTAGGTGAGAAAGAGGAAAAGCACACATTTAAGAGGATTGGAAGACATTTGGTTGTTCCCTCAGGACTCACAAACAATAAACACATACACACAAAGAAAAACATGCCCATACAGGTGCTACTGATTAACTTAAATGAAAAACACAGAGCTCAATTTGTACTTAGGAAAGAAACTATCTCAAAAACATTAAACAAAGAATTCTTAAAACAGTTCTAGGTAGCTGGGAAAGTGACTCAGCGGGTAAGTCTGATAACTTCAGTTCAATCAGTCCCAGGACACATATGGCAGAGGAGAGAAATCAACTTCCACAGATGGCCCTCAGACATCTAGACAAGGGCCATGGCATGTGTGCATCCACAGGCATACATACACACACACAAAAACACATACCAAAAAAGTAAATGTAAAAATATTCTAAAATATCAATTCTGTATTTTGATCACTATATACGAATCTTCAGAGATGGCAAAATCTCATTGATTATACTGAAAAGAAAAAGAAAACAAGCAGGGAAATCCACACAGGTCTGCAGTGTCATTGACTACACTGTGCTATTTCCATTCTTGATGTTGGCACTGTACTACATTTGTGTAAAGTGCTACCCTGGGAGATGCTAGATGAAGAGTGTGGACGGACTGTTTCACACACTCTCCACATTTACAATTCCCATGCACCTGTAATCATGTTTTGCAAGTGGTGGCACACTGCTATACTCTAGCACTTAGGACGCTGAAGCAGGCTTGTGAGCTTGAGGCACCCAGGGCTACACATTAAGACCTTAAACAAAGAAACAGTGCCCCTTCAATCAACAGAGGGTCTAAGGAAAGCCAAAGAACATTCCTAATCTGTTCCATAAACCCTATGGTTCTTAGTCCAGGCATCATTACAAGTTGAGAATTCCTTCTACATTTTCAGTTGAGGACAGTTGAGGACTCGGTGTGTGATAGGCACTAGTCACAGAGTCATTTAGACAAAGTTTCTCCTAATTGCATGGCACTCTGACACTCAGATGCTATTACTTGCCTACCACAAGGAAGTGCACAGTTGAAGGTCTGGTAATCCACACTAGCACGATGACTGGTCTTCGGACAAGTTTAACAACTCCAAAGAAGAAACGCTTTCTCTGATGAGACTTGTTCTCAGTGAAATCCTGAGATATCTTGCTAGGTACTGCTTCTTCCTCCACAGGGCCCACACTCCCTTTCTAGCCAATGAACCCAAAACTGAGCAACCTGAAAACTCCGAAGGTAGCCTCACTCATCCCTGTGACTCCATCATTCACTTGTTCCCTTAACATAGTTCCCAGGTGTCCAATGTCAACATACCCTGTAAGATTTGGGCAGCATTTCATCTCCAGAAGTCCAGTTTGATCAAGAGCACAAGCATAAATATCAATGCAGTGACCATTTGCAGCAGTTCGATTAGCAAGCATCTCATAATGCTGTAAATAAAAAAAGAAAACGATCTTTAGGAAACAGAAGCATAATTCCCAAGGCATGCCTTAATACACTTAAGGATGTGATCAAGAAAAGGAGCATGGAATTTGCTGTCTATAAAGCAGCCACATAATATAAAAAACACAGCTTTAGATTCAGAACTCTTTAAACACTTTAGGACCATTCTCCTCTAACCAGAGCCATAGATGGGGACAGTAAGTTAACAGGAGCCAAGATCTGGAAGTGTGTCACTATACAAGCACCTTCTGACTTCAGCAGAGTAGCCATCTTCATCCAGGGTGGTCCATGCGCACCACCACCTCCTGGTATGGCTGTGTTACTGCTATGACAGCTGGAATCCAATGGTACCTACCTTGGTTGCCTTTTTCATGAATCGTGCGTTATCTTTCTCAATATCATGCCAGGAACGAATAGGAGTCTTCAATTCATCTCCAACCACCATGCCAGGTCCTTGGGTAGGAGGGCCTCCAGTGAACAGCATGATCCTGGCTCCAGTATTTGGAAAAGTACCCTAAAAACAGAGTAAAGATTATGGCAGAAACATACAGTTCCACGACTGAGAGTGGTTTCCGCTTATGTATACAATACTCCAAAGAAGAACTCTTTACATCTCTGCCTCTTCACCTGCCCTTGGCATGAGTGGTGCTGCAGAGTAGCACACATGACAGCAGAGAAAAGCAGCAACTACTTTCTCCCAACAGATGGCTTTGCACTTTTATTACTTTAGTGAAAGCATTCTCCATTGCTTCCATTCCCTTAGTTTTTCTTTTTTAAAAAAATTTATTTATTTATTATGTATACAACCTTCTGTTTGCATGCCAGCACAGGGCACCAGATCTCATTCAAGGTGGTTGTGAGCCACCATGTGGTTGCCGGGAATTGAACACATGACCTCTGGAAGAACAGTCAGTGCTCTTAACCTCTGAGCCATCTCTCCAGCCCCCCATTCCCTTAGTTTTTCATTAAAACTTTTTTGGTATTTTCAAAATAAAGAGGGCCTCCTTAATGTGGGTAATAATGACTAAAACACTTTCTGATACACAGACAATAAGCTGACTTAAGGCACATGAAATTTTCAAACAAAGCTAACAAGAACAGCTTGTATAATCGAGAGGTCCCTATAAAAATCAGAATTACCTCCAACAAGCCAACAGCAATGGACAAAGCAACGCCAGTGGATCGCAAAGGTCTCTTCCCCTGAGTAACTGGCCATGGGTCCCTCTGCAGCTCCCCAAGAAGATCTGTGAGATTCATGTCAATCTTATGAACAGGCTGCAGAAATCTGTATGATTTCAAAAGGGCACATCAGTTGTGATTTAATAAAGAACCTTGACCTTCACCCATAGGCTACCCAGTTAACTGCTTTTCAAAACAATTATCCAACAGTAAAAACTCAAACTTTTTCCTTCAAATTATCTCTATAAACACAAACAGCAATTCCAAACAATTTTAATGCTAGATATACTATGAAATCTAATAACACAAATTTTTGCATGTATCATAAAAAATCAAATTGCAAAGGAAAAACTTCAATTAAATTTTAAGCAGCAAAGAAATCCTAACAATAAACCAAGTGTGGATCCAGCTTGTTTAAGGTCTGTTTATATGGACAGTCTTCACCATCTGAAGCTTCTGTTTGCATGCCTCTTGAGCCTTAGAAGCTGTGAGGAGAGAAGCACTCTGGTTTCCCACCAGAGTGGAGGGAAACTAGCACATCAGATCACATCAGGCTTTCTTTCAGTCAAATGAATGAAGTGAGTGCCTGCTCTTAGGTTTATTTAAAGTACCTAAAAAAAGTGGGTTTTGTTTTGTCAGCTTTACTTAAGGATGAAGGACAACAGCTATGTGTCAAAGAGGAGGGGACCAACAGAACAGTGTCAAAACGTTTTTGTAAGATACCGAGTATCAACTGGGCCTACTCTTTAATTCTTTTTCTTAGAACTTTGGAATCATAAGTCCTATCATCGTTATTCTTGTTCTCCTGGGCTGTCAAGCATGCCCACCACAGAACATGTAACCCTGGTGTCTCACCTGCTAGAAACAAAGGGCTGCTCCTGAGGTTGAGCAGGCCTTGCTTGCTGCATGGGCATAGCAGACTTGGTCAGGCCCAACATATCCTGAAAAGGAAAACCAGAAAGATCCAATTTCCATTAACCCTAAAAGTAGTACAAATCTACCCTTGGTCCTGTTTCTTTACAAGGCACAAACCTGTATTTGCTTTGCAGTTAAATCCTTGGTCCCTCGGAACACATAACTCTTGGAGATTCCTTCACAGCTTAGCTCGTGAACCTGCACCATCCTCCCAAAGGTGATAAGACCAACTAGAGCATCTGGAGGAAGGAGACTCAAGGACATTTGCAGGGACTCTTTGAGTGCTTGAAGGTCATCTTCCTCCAAACATGTGTCAACCACATAGAGGAAAATCAGAGGGGATCGAGCACCTCGCTTTGGGCAAAGAAAAATGGCATAATGATCAGTACATACACAGATATAACCAACTACCACAGAGCAAATCAGATACAAAACAGAAGTCTTTATACCTGTAAATATCCCAGGGGATACAACTGTGTAGCTAAAGATCTATACTAGCTTCTAATCGCTTCATCAAATGGTCCAGAGTATAGCAAAACAAACATAAAACTAAAAATGTACTAAATATTTAATACCCACTATGTGCCAGACATTACTGCAGACTCTGGTACACACCACTGGACAAAAACAACAAAACTTCCTGCCAGCCAAAGGGAACAAACCTGGTTGGGGAGACCGGGGGCATCAACAGCTAAGATGGAAGAAGGTGTTACACAGAGATCAGGGCCGGGAATGGTGGCGTATGCTTTTAATCTCAACACTTAGGAGGCAGAGGTGGATGGATCTCTGATTTTGAGGCCAACCTGGTCTATATACTGAGTTCTAGGACAGCTAGAGCTACACAGTGAGACCCTGTCTCAAAAAGTAAATAAATAATAATAAAAATAGAAGGGGGGCAACTTCAGTAAGAAGGTAAAATTTGAAGGGAAAAGATGGCTCAGCAGATAAAGGCCAAACCAAACCTGATGACCTGCATTCAATCCCCAGAACCCACAAGGTAGAAGTACTGGCTTCCACAAATTATTCTCTGACCTCTACAAATGTGCCCATACACATACACATGTAAATAAACAAATCATAGCTATGGGGAGAAAGAGGGGAAGATAGATCATACTCTCTGGCAGGTGTGACACTTGAGGAGGGAAGAAGGCCCATGGGCTGAACAAGGACACTAGGAGGAGATGAGACATGGAGCCTTGAAGACTATCTTAGAACACTAGGAGGAGATGAGACATGGAGCCTTGAAGACTATCTTAGAACACTAGGAGGAGATGAGACATGGAGCCTTGAAGACTATCTTAGGACACTAGGAGGAGATGAGACATGGAGCCTTGAAGACTATCTTAGAACACTAGGAGGAGATGAGACATGGAGCCTTGAAGACTATCTTAGGACACTAGGAGATGAGACATGGAGCCTTGAAGACTATCTTAGGACACTAGGAGGAGATGAGACATGGAGCCTTGGAGACTATCTTAGAACACTAGGACGAGATGAGACATGGAGCCTTGAAGACTATCTTAGGACACTAGGACGAGATGAGACATGGAGCCTTGAGGACTATCTTAGAACACTAGGAGGAGATGAGACATGGAGCCTTGAAGACTATCTTAGAACACTAGGAGATGAGACATGGAGCCTTGAAGACTATCTTTTGCTTTGAGTGAAGTGGGGCCAATTTAATCCATCAGCAGAGGCTTCTGAGCAGAGAATAACAAGATACATGTTTCTACAGAGTTACACAGGCTGCTGGATTAAAATAAAAGTGGAGGGGGGGTGTGGAAAGAGAGAGAAGAGGACAGGGAGTAGGGAGAACATGAGAGAACGGGTTAGTCGAGTTGGGGAAGGACAGAGAGGGAGAAAGCAAGAAATGTCTTGATAAAGGGAGCCATTCTGGGATTATCGAGAAACTTGGCACTAGGGAAATGCCTAGGAATACACAAGGATGACCAAAGTTAAAACACTAAGCAATAGTGGAGAGGGTGCCTGAACTGGCCTTCCCCTGTAATCATACTGAGGACTACCACATTGTCATCACGGAACAGATGGAAGCAGATGCAGAAACCCACAACTAACCACTGGGCCAAGTTCCCAGAGTCCACTCAAAGAAAGGGAGGATCAATAATATGAGCAAAGGGGTTAAGGACACAATGTGAAAACCCACAGAAAAATCCAATCCAAACTAGTGAGAGCTCACTGATTCCAGAGTGACAGCTGGGGAACCTGAATGAATGCAGGTGACAGTCGATGGCTTGAGCAGTTTGTGGGGCCAGGATCTATCCCTAGTGCATGAACTGGCTTGTTGTAGCCCATTTCCTATGGGGAGATACTTATTCAGCCTAGACATGGGGTAAGGTCTTGGTTCTGCCTCAACGTGGTGATAGGACAGACTTCATTGAATCCCCATGGGATGCCTTTCCTCTCTGAAGACTGGATGGGGGATTTGGTGGGAGGAAGGTAGGGGAAATAGGAGGAGGGGAGAGAGGGGGACCTAGGATTGCCATGCAAATAAATAAATAAATAAATCTGTGAAGAAAAAAAAAAGAATAAGAACAAACAGGCAAAGGTAAATGAGGGAGAACAGCTAAAAGACTGTCAATATATCCAGCAAGAGATGGTAGACGACCCAGGATGTCTAGGGACAGGGAAGGTATGGCGGGTGGAATCTAGGTATGTTCCAAGTAGTAAATCAATGGATGGTCTACCAGATGAGATGGGGGATGTGGAAGAAAGAAGTCAATGATGTGAACAGGAAGGGGTAGGTCTAACTTTTCTATCCCAGGCTAGGCTCCACCACTGTTCATCTCCACAATGCATTTGTTTGATTTCACCAAAGTCATGCTCAAGATAGGAAGATCATGGTGTGTGAGGGGCCTAAGTCTCAGAATGTTTAGGGGGACCCAGAGGGAAGTAAACAGACTACAGAATATACACTCAGGGCAAGATGATCTTTGCAAGCCCATCTCTCCTAGCATACAAGGACCAGTGACAGGAAGGGAGGAAGCACTATAAATTTTTTAAGCTAACCACCTCATGCTAAAGTGTCTCAGGTGAGATGGAGAAGGCTATGGAGTCAAGCTTTAAATTTAGGCAGTTCTACTTTTTTTAAAGCCTAGGTCAAGACCTGAAAATAATGCCAGTAACACAAATGTACTATAATATACTACAGTCCTGCTCCCATGGACACCAGCTTTAAATTTCACAGACAGATGAGAGATCTGTATTTCAAAGGAAACTCAATGTTAATGGTGCTCATTAAACACATGACAAAATTACCTGGATCATGTACTCGATTGTTGAAAACTGAGGCATCAATTCAGCAGGCTGATTCACCTCAGATATGCCTGTATATGCTGGAGGGAACTGATAAGAAAAAACAAAACATTTAATTAGTGATTTATGTTCCACTTTTTTCTTTGTACTGGAAACTAAGCCTAGGCACAGGCAAGTGCACCACTTCTGAGCTCCAGTTCCAGCTATGCATGGTACACTCATTTTGCATCTATAAAACTGTTTCAATACCATGTTAACTCTGAAGGAACAAAATATAAAACATGTTGCTAAAACACAATTAGCACTCAAAGTTTCTAATTCTCTTACATGTCTATGATCACATAACCTTAAAAAAGATTTACTGATAAAAACAGACACTGCACTTGATCTTAGCCTAAAATAAAACCCATGCCAGGAGAATAAGCCTACCCCTGACACTGCCTGGACCACCAAGACCCACAGGCTGGATAACTCAGAGACCGAGGATAGAACCAAACATGACTTGAGGGGCGGGGGAACGTCAATGTAATATCTAAAGATATTCTGCTATGCACATAGATTGGTGCCTAGCCCAATCATCATTAAAGAAGCTTTATCCAGCAATTGATGAAAACAGATGCAGAGACCCACAGCCAAACATTAGGCCAAGCTCAGGACATCCTAAAGAGGGGGAAAAGAACTGTAGGAGCTGGAGGGGTGGGTCAAGGACACTGTTGTGGAATAGTACTTTTAACTATGTAAAAGTATGTTACAATTGTTTATCTTGCAGAAGATTACTTTAACTAGGCAAAGATGTGTTGCAATTATTTATATTGCATTTGTTTAATTATGTAAAAATGTGTTGCTGCTTTACCTTGCCTGCCTAAGGCACCTGAGTGGTCTAATAAAAAGCTGAACAGCCTCCTAGCACTTGGAAGGCAGAAGCAGGTGGATCTCAGTGAGTTCAAGGCCAGTCTGGTCTACAAAGTGAGTTCCAGGACAGCCAGGAGTGTTACACAGAGAAACCCCATCTCAAAAAACAGAACAAACAGCTGAACAGACAATAACTAGGCAGATTATAGGTTCTGCCACTTTGTTTGTTTGTTTGAGACAGGTTTTCTCTATAGCTCTGGCTGTCTTGGAACTCACTCTGTAGACCAGGCTAGCCTCGAACTTGGATATTCACCTGTGAGTGCTGGGATTAAAAGCATGCAGCACTACTACTGCCCAGCAACACGACACTTTTAAAGCAGAAGATGAACATTAATGCTGGAACCCTAAAGGTACAAGATAATGAAAATTCAATAACATGCATCATCTAATTAGAGAACGAATGTGGTCCAGTAACATATAAAGAGCAGATCTATTTCTTTTTTTCTTTAGGTAACATACTCACTTCCCATAGAAAACTTAAGATAAGAGAATTCTATGTCCCCCTACTATCCAACACCAATGTGCCTAACAAAAGCCATTACCTGAGATCACTGCTAATCACTAGTGTAGACAGAAATTTAAGTTCATGTAATCTTTTCCATAGTACAACAAAAATGAAATAACATATACATGTTGTTTTGAATTACATACCTGATTTCTTTGAAAACAAAAATTGCAAGCCCAAAGTTTTGCTCGATAATCAACTTGACTGCAAGAAAAGTAAATAAATATCACAGATATTATATTTATTTCCAAGCTAGAAAGCAACCAAATTAAACAGGCATGTGTTTCTATGAGTGTGCATATACAGAATAGTTCGTGAAATTGCACTGCAGGGAAAACTGGCTATCAAGTACACCAAAAATTTCCCTCAAATACTTGAACTTAATTAAAATCTTTTTTGTCTTTTCCAGTTCTATGATCATGTTTTAAGATTTCTTCACTCACATAAACTATAAGCTATTTCCTTCTGCCTTCATTTTAACCTGTCACCAAGATATATCCAATATTTTTATTGTTCAACAATGAAAACTGTTTTTAAAAAGATCTGTTTAGTTTTATTATATGTGTATGCATGTTTGCCTGTATTATGTGCAGCACACACATGCCTCGCAGAGGCAGGAAGAGGGCAAGGATTCCCTGGTACTGGAGTTATGGAAGACTGAGCTAACATGTAGGTGCTGGGAACGTGACTATGTTTCTGCAGGAGTAGCAAGTATGCTTAACCACTGAGCCACCTATCTACAGCCCCTATGTAAAACCTCTTAATTTCAATAATAAAGGCACATTTCACGCTTAGGCCATGGAAAGCATGTTTCCAGGTTGGTAAAGCTGCTAGAAATGGTCCATGATAAAGCTTCTATTGCGTCTTCTCCCTTTCTGCACTTAGGATAGTACTAGCCAGTGGCTATCATTTTACAAGCAGGGGAGAGACTTTCCTAATACGGGCTTGATAATGAAAAGCAAGGGAAAATAAGGGAAAAAGTGCTCCTGCATGCAAATATTTTAACACTCTCAACTTGCTTCAAAATTCCTTCAGCCATGCATGGTGGTAAACTTCTGCAGTCTTATATCCTCCCTACTGATGCCAGAGGGTCACACAAGCCCTAGAGTTTGAGACCAAGTTATGCAACATGGACACTCCACCTCAAAAGATAATGGAAAAAATTATTTCCAATAGTGTCCAAATAAACGAATAGAACAGAACCTTAGGTTAAAAAATTTCACTTAATAAAACTATTGGGAGTCAAATTTCTGCCAGGGCTGGAAAGATGGCTCAGTGTTTAACAACACTTGCCGCTCTTCCAGAGGAACAAAGTTTGGTTCCTAGCATCCATGCCAGGTAGCCCACATCTCCTGTAACTCCAGCCCCAAGAAATTCAACTCCCTCTTATACCCTCCACAGGTACCTACATACAAATGGCATGCACAGATGTGTGCCTACTTGTGTAAGCACTCGTACATACACACACACAAAGTAAATAATCTACACACACACACACACACACACACACACATTCTCCTGTCTACTACTTCTTCCAGACATACATCATTATCATATAGGGTATGTACAAAAAGAATGAAATTTTAGGATTTTTTTAATGCTTTAAAAGCCATCAATTGGTCAGGTGGTAGTTGTGCACACCCTTAATCCCAGGTCTTGGGAGGCAGAGGTAAGCAGATCTCATGAGTTCTAGGCTACCCTGGTCTACAAAGCAAGTTCTAGCCTCCAAAGCTACACAGAGAAACCCTGTCTCAAAAAGAAAAGAAAAGAAAAGAAAAAAAGAAGAGAAGAGGGAAGGGGAGGGAAGGGAAGGGGAAGGAAGTGGAGGGAAAAGGAAAAGCTATCCTTTAAAGTCTACAATTAAGTCAGAAGCAAACTGCTAATCTAGGAAAGGGTGGAAAAGACAAGATGGAATTCCAAACTCTCCCTGTCTCTCCTCCCCTTGTTCACGCCTTTAGTCCCAGCAGTTGGGAGGCAGAGGCAGGAGGATCTCTGTGGGGTGGAAGCCACCCAGGGGGACTACATAGTGAGTTCTGGGACAGCCAGGCTATATAAAGAGACCTGCTTCAAAAAAAAAAAGAAAAGAAAAAAGATTCCAATTTTATCTGAAGTATCAGACCAGAGAGGTTTCCATGAGCACTGGTCCTCTAAGAATCTCAACATCTTCTTACTCTCATCTCAAACTAGAAACTCTCCTATAGAAATCAAGTGACTTTTATGAAAATTGCATAAAGAGACAATTTACTACATCATTTTTACCAGTTTTTTTCTAAAGAACGCATACCAAAGTGGATTGAGAACAGCTTTGCAGGTTGGCCTGCTGCAAAGCACAGGTTCATACTGTACAGGAGGTAGGTCTGGGCGTTCCTTTAAAGGAGTGAGGAGACAAGCCAAGGGAACAACCATTCTTGTGGCTTCAAGGCGGCTAGAAGGCCACACATTCCAACTGAAACGCACACCATCTCGTTCTTCATTCTGCTGAATGAACTCCAGATATGTTGCCATGGCCTAAAAGGAAACTAAAAATAAAGCTTTAATTATATGCAAAATTCTGCGTAGTAGTTCATATCAGAAATTCAACACTCAGTTCCAAATAAACAAAGAAATGATCTTACGAGAAAGTGTTTCACAAACACCTGATGTGGAAAAACCTGTCATTGTAGGATAACAGTAACTACCTTCTCTTAGACTCCCAAAGTTGATTACCCTTCCTTCCTGTTTTAGCTTTCCACGGCTATAATAAAGACCATGCCAAGCCAGATGGTGGTGGAAAACACCTTTAATCCCAGCACTTGGGAGGCAGAGGCAGGTGAGTTCAAGGCCAGCCTGGTCTACAAAGTGAGTTCCAGAACAGCCAAGACTGTTACACAGAGAAACCATGTCTCAAAAAACAAAACAACAACAACAACAAAACCAAGACCATGACCAAAAGCAACATGGGGAGGAAATGATTTATTTCAGCTAACTCTTGTAGTCCATCATCTTCCAAAAAGCCAGAGCAGGAACTAATACAGAGGCCATGGAAAAACATTGCTTACTGGTTCATTCCTTAAGGCTTGCTCAGCCTGCTTTTTGTTTTGTTTTGTTTTTTTGTTTTTTTGTTTTTCGAGACAGGGTTTCTCTGTGGCTTTGGAGGCTGTCCTGGAACTCGCTCAGTAGACCAGGCTGGTCTCGAACTCACAGTGATCCACCTGCCTCTGCCTCCCGAGTGCTGGGATTAAAGGCGTGCGCCACCAACGCCCGGCTCAGCCTGCTTTCTTATACAACTCAGGATCACCTGCCTAGGGGTAGCACTGCCTTTAGTGGACTGGACCCTCATACATCAATCACCAAACAAGAAAATGCCCCACAGGCCTACCTGATAGAATTTTCTCAGTTGAGGTTCCCCCTTCTCAAATGACAATGGCTTATGTCAGGTTGACAAAAATACTAATCAGGCCACTTTCTCAAACCATCTCTGTAGAACTCGGAAAGAAATTGATCAAAGCAGTTAAAGGTTGAACTGCTTGACCATTTGTTATCTGTGTATTAGCTGGATATTACTACTAGTTAGTTATTTGTTTGTGATGCTAAAGGTTAAGTCCAGGGCCTTTTGCGTGCTAGGCAAGCACTGAGCTAAATTCCTCAGACAAGCCCATTTCAACCACATGTCCAAAGACAAGTCTCAAACTGTCTCATCAGCCAGCAATTTTTCCAATTCCCTTCCTTTCTTTATCATTCAAAGTAAACACTGTATGAAATGTCACATTCCAAGTGACCTTAGCTTTTGCTTCCCCCTACACACACATGCACACGCGCACACACACACACACACACACACACACACACACACACACACACACAATTTGCTCACTGTATGGATTTGAGAAGCACCGTGGCACTGGAGCATTTCTAATGTGCATGCCAAAACTATAAAGGGGAGTTTGCTTTTGTACCAAGATTCGCCTTGTTCTCCTTCCTTACCATGTAGGCTTACGCTCATCCTTCAAAGACCTTGGTAAATCAGTCCTTCAGACTACGCTTTCAGACTCAGAAAACCCCAATGTTATTGAGTAAATGCATCCTATTTGTGATCTAAAATACATCGACTCATAAGTTACTGAGGTTCAACTGAACAAGCCCTTCAGGAGAGCAAGTAAGGACTGGCAAGATGGACCAGTGGGTAAAGCGCTTGCCCCCCAAGTCTGACAACCTAAGTTTGGTCCTCAGATCCCTCATAAAGTTGTAAGGAGAGACCCAATACCACCACAAGCATTGCCTTCTGCCCCCAACACGGGTGACTTGACAGGTGTACACACACATCATGCACATGTTCACACAAATAAAGAAATAAAACAAAGAAAAAGGAAAGCAAGAAAATTCAGTCTATGAGATGAGAATGTGGGGCAAATTCTTGCAATCTCCAAATTTGGGAGGCTGAAGCAGAAGAACCAAAGGAGTTCAAAGCCACCTGAGTTACATAGGGAAGTCCAATCAAATATGCATATATACATATATGACACTAAATATATACTATGATACTATACACGTACTAGAATACTACATACACTATATATATGATACTAAAGTGCCTTTTAGTGCCAAAAGTGCTTAATAACAACTGTCTCCTTTGAGGAATAACATACTGCAAATAACTTCGATTAAGGCAATTTTACATGGAGAGAAAAGCAAATTAATTATTCTACTATACAGAATCCACAGAACAAAAATCCCTAATGTCTGTTCCAAACTGAAACTCTGAGACACCTACTTGTTATTTCTGGCAAATACAGGAAGCTGAACACATTAACTATGTACCTTCCTGGGGGGGCAAATAAATAAACCACATGTATGCACACTCTAATATCACCATATTAGGCAATTACTTCAACAAACCCCATAAATAACAATAACCACTCTTTAAAGTTCTTTATTTAAAGGTACAGGCCCCCAAGTACCTACATATTAAAATCTGCTCCCTATTTCCCATTGCCTCTTTTCCTGAATCTTCTAGATGACAGTTTCTTTCTTTTTTATAATTTATTTACTTTTTACTTTATGTGCATTGGTGTTTTGTCTGCATGTCCTGCATGTCTGAATGGAAAGTGTCAGATCTTGGAGTTACAGACAGTTGTTAGTTGCCATGGTGAGTGCTGGGAATTGAACCCAGGTCCTCTGGAAGACCAGCCAGGGCTCTTAACTACTGAGCCATCACCTCTCCAGCCCCAGATAACGGTTCCTTAATCCTGGACACACACCCCACAGAGGATTTCAGTGAATTAATAAATTCTCTTTAGTTCTATGTACTTTTATTAAATTCTATGTATTGAGAAAATGTACATTTTTCCTCCCTCGGCATATGAGTCCACTGCTCACATCAAATTCTCAACGAGTAAAGATATCTGAAGAAGTAAATATATGAGCGATCGAGCGAATAAAAGGCCTAGAAAGTTATCCAATAAAATATCTGAGCCACTCTCATCTCTCCAGGAAACAACTTTGCAGGACGTGGTAACCATATGTAGACACTGAGAAACAAGACCTAAGCCTCTACTGAAGATCTAGGTTCTGGTTTCACTTATCACAAAGCAAACTCAAGTTTTTCATGGGGATTCAGTCCTTCCGGATGTTCACGCCACCACCGCCACCCCAATTCGCAGGGCTAAGGAGTCAGAAACCGGTCCTCTGCCATCAGGCATGGCGCGGACAAGTGAGTTTCAGCCGGCTTCTGGATCATCAATTCCCCGATTCCTCAGCCTGACCAGAAAAGGGCTCCTCCCAGAAGCAGCCCACCTTGCCCCGGCGTCTCTGGCTTCGGCCCTCCTACTAAGCACCCATTCACCAGAGCAGGGTCGCTCACCAGCCCGGAGCCACTCACCTAGGACCGAGCCTTCCGCGCCCCACGGACACCAGAGCTCGGCTCCGGCTACCACCGCCAAGTCCACCTCAGCTCACAGTCGATTGGTCAGCGATCTACGACGTCACTCCACAGCGCCATATTCTAGCCAATCAAAGAGCGCTTCTCTGGCTGACGCACTAAAACGAAACCTTCAGAAAAGCTGCGCCGCCATCTTTGAATAGGGCAAGGCTGTAGTTTCTCACACTTAAAACTTCAAAATTCAAAGTTCCTTAGGGTACATACTTTCTCGAATACATCCCTAAAAGTTTCTCCTGCTCCTGCACAGAACCTCAGCGTCGGCGGATCCATCATCCAAACGCATCCAGCACTCCTCAGGCGTCCGCCCTGACACAACACGACGTCTGTTGGCCTCAAAGGGAAGTCGCTCTGGTCTCCTTAGTTACCGGGAAGCGAGAACGGTGACGTGTAGCCCCAGAGGAACCCGAAGTGGTCAGGAAGAGGCCCTCAGCCTGCGGGAAGGAGCTTGGAGGTGGCCGAGAGTCTTCGACCACTTGTTTAAGTTCTTTCTGAGTTTGGCAGGTGTGGCTACTCTCTCCACATTGCAAAACTTTCCCTTCTCACTTGCTGCGTTATGAAGGGACTGTTTCATCTTCCTGATATTCTCCGAGAAGGAAATGAGTAATTGGGTGCAGTCCTATTCAAGCGTTTTAGGAGACTAACAGTACGTTTTTTTATGGATAACACGAATTTCTGTGACCGTCACAGTCACTTTACACTTTCTTACAAGTGACAACAAAACAAACAAATAGCAAATTCATCTTACCCAGAGACTCGGCCTTTGAAGTATAAATAACTGAGAAACAAAATTCTCAAATATTTTTTAAAGATTTATTTTAAAATATGCCTACCTGTGTGTCCGCGTATGCATGTGTGCACATGAGTGTGCGGTGCCTACAGAGGCCAGGAGAGAACATGGGATCCATGGAGCTAGAGTTGCAGTCAGTTGCATACCCCCTAACATGGGTGCTGGGAACTGAACTCCAACAGTATACACTCAACCACTGAACCAACTCTTCAAAGCTCTAAAATCTTATATTGACGCTAAGACAACGGGTATCCATTAAATAGCCCAATTAATTATTAATTCAAACCGTTCTTTACAGCAGGGCCTAACTATGTAGTTCTGGCTGGCTTGAAACTCATAGAGACCTTCTTGCCACGGCCCTCCTATGCCTTCTGTATGCTGGAATTAAAAACACAGGTCATCACACCCAGATAAGCAAACTTTTTGAAGTAAAACAACTAAGACTTAAATAGATGTTACTATGAAATATTACTATTTACATAAAAATCTTGTCAGAATAACAATTTGTTTCTAAACAAATTTATATTTTTCATTGTCTTAAACATTAGTCAATGTTAACAATAGCTTACTTATAACCTTAAATATGTTTAGGAAACTCAAAGTAATCTCTTCCTAAGGAAACATATCCAAGTAAAATAAAATGTACATGTGCATTATATCTAACACTGAGAAAAAGAACAGGCTTTTATAACTTTTACATAACAAATTTAATGTAATGTTGTTCTTTAAGGTTTTCAAACTGTATTATTTCTGCCCAGTAATTTCTGCAGGAAAGGTATTTTCCAAATTGCATGTTCAAAGTATTAGAGATTGAAGGTTCTTATTTGGGAGAATTTTAGAAATATTTGATTTATATAAGAGTATACTTGTTTCTTTAATAAAGGTCTTTTAATTTGAGAAATAATAATTTAACTCATTATGACTTCACAAGGAAAGCAAGATCTCCTGTCCTCTCAGAGCAATGGGTGCAAGTCTTTTTTTTCATTCTAGCAAGACACACTGACATATAAAGAACATACAGTTTTAGTTCTACACTTCAGTCCCAGGTCAAAAAGAAACGTGGAGGCGTAAAAGAGTTTGGTGAAGTAGAGAAGAAGATGCTGTTCTTCCCAGTTGGTATGGCAGGCCTATAAAATGACAAAGACAGTCAAAGACACTACTAAACTAGATTTGCTGTCACCTCTCACCTAAGGGAGTATCCCTCTATAAATGAAATATTCTAAATAGTTTACCTAGCTCACCTATTAACAAGGAAACCAATAGGGATATTCAAAATGGTTCTAAGAAAATATTATGTATAAAAACTTATATTCTCAGGGGCTGGAGAAATGGCTCAAAGGTTAAGAGTACTGGCTGCAGCCGGGCGTTGGTGGCGCACGCCTTTAATCCCAGCACTCGGGAGGCAGAGGCAGGCGGATCTTTGTGAGTTCGAGGCCAGCCTGGTCTACAGAGCGAGTTCCAGGACAGCCTCCAAAGCCACAGAGAAACCCTGTCTCGAAAAACCAAAAAAAAAAAAAAAAAAAAAAGAGCACTGGCTGCTCTTCCAGAGGTCCTGAGTTCAATTCCCAGCAACCACATGGTGGCTCACAACCATCTGTAATGAGATCTGGTGCCCTCTTCTGGTGTGCAAGGATATATTTTATAATAAATCTTTAAAAACAAACATTCTCTACCACACAGTATCTTTTTATCCTGTGTTTAGGAATTATATGTATTGTTATGGATATCAGTCTTTGTGTATGCCTATCAACTTTCTAAAGTTAATCTCTGTCTCTACACAGTTGTATAGTAATGCAGTCAAGGCAAAAGTATACATTCCTTGGGTGACACCAGCACAACTCACAAAATGCCCAATAGCCCATGAAATGTAATTTCTTTCATCTATCTCAAAATCTTCTTACAAGACTCCCAAGTATTGTAATGCTTAATCTTTATTCTCAACTTAACTGGAGGTTAGAACCAGGAAACACAACTCTAGATGTATCTGTGAGGGCATTTCCAGACATTTTAAACTGAAGAATGAAGACCCAACCTAAAGCAGTTGGTACCATCTTACACGACGGGAGCCCAGAGTGAATAAAGTGGGAAAAGCAGTTGACCAAATGAGTATTGGTTTTCCGTTTCTCTGTGGTTGACACCATAGACTAAGCCATGCTGCCTCTGTGCCTTTCCCCCAGAATACTGGACTCTGTTCCTCTGAACTAGGAGCCTTTATGCCTTCCCACTATGATAGACTGCATTCCTCTGAACTCTGAGCTAGAATACATCCTTCCTTCCCTAAGTTGCTTCGTGTCAGATATTTCATCACAGCAACAATAGAAGTCTATACAGAACAATAGTATTGAGATGTGGGGTTGTTTCTGTGAGAAACACGAATGTAACTCATTTTCTTTTTTTACTGTTTGCTTTTGGAGGCCTGCCATACTGCTCCCAAGTAAAAACATGGAAAGTTATTCTTAATTATGAATGTCTGGCCTCAGCTTGTCCTGTTTCTAGTCAGCTTTTCTTAGCTTAATTAAAGCCTCTTGGATTTTATCTTTCTCTATTCTACATACCTTTCCTCTTTCTTTCCTTTCTCTTTTTAAAAAAGATTTATTTATTTAATATGTATACAGTGTTCTGCTGGCATGTATCCTGCAGGTCAGAAGCGGCACCAGATCTCATTACAGATGGTTGCTAGCCATCATATTTGCATCATTAAAAAAATATTCTGCCTGATCTACAAGAGCTAGTTCCAGGACAGCCTCCAAAGCCACAGAGAAACCCTGTCTCGAAAAACTAAATAAATAAATAAATAACATTCCACAGCATAAACAAATGTAAAACACCTTAAACAAATATTCCAAAATATTTCCCCCTTTTGGCTAAATAAAAATGAAAGGTTTCAACTTTAACATAGTAAAACTATATTTAAACTATATGCAACAAAACAGTTATTAAGTAAGAAGTACATTTACAATATTCAGTCATTTATATTTATCAAATTCAGAGAAAATACTCTATTATCTATCTTAGTGGTTGCAAAGTTTTATACCTAATTTACTGTCTATAATAGCTAAGGAAAACTATAACTCTATTTAGTGTTTAACTCCATCAAAGACCCCATAAGGATATAATATTACCTAACAACAGAGACATCTGGATTCTGCACAGTCATCCAAAGTCCCTCTGCAACATTGGAGCATGCTTCTTCGACCTACAGACCTAAAATTTCTGGTAGACTTCAGTGAAGCAAGAACTTTGAAGGATGTCCTGCCTTGTCTTGGCAAAGTTCAAAAGTCTTTTTCTTGTGTCTCTCTTGTCCAGTCTGTACAGTATACTGTCAGCAGTCAAAGCAAGAACAGTTTCTTACCCAAATGACTAGCTTTTGCAACAATGAAGGAAAATTCCATATGGGATTGTGGTGGTATGAATGGAAATGGCCCCCATAGATTCATGTGCTTCAATGTTTGGCCCATAGCAGACGGCACTATTAGGAGGTGTGTCCTTGTTGGAGGAAGTGTGTTACTGTGAAGGTGGACTTTGAGATCCTATATGCTCAAGCTATGCCCAGTCTTATACTTCCTATGGATCAAGATGTAGAACTCTCAGCTACCTCTCTAACACCATGTCTACCTGTTTGCCATCATGTTTCCTGCCATGATGATAGTGGACTAAACCCCTGAACTGTAACCTAGCCCCAGTTAAATGTTTTCCTTTATAAGTGTTCACAGTAATAGAAACTCTAACTAAGACAGGGACCATATAACTTGTTTGGATGAAGAAATTTCAAGAATATAGCATTGCATCCCGGCTGAGGCACAGTTATTGTTTATCACATTTATTGTGGCTTATAATGAGTATTCAGCTGGGGAATGTAAAACATATACAGTATGGCATGAACAAGAGCATGAGCATAAGGGATGGAGAGATGGCTCATTGGTTAGGACACTGTGCTTCCTACTTTTCCAGAGTCCCTGAGTTCAGTTCCCAGTATCTAAGCTGCCTGGTCACAACAGCCAGTAACTCTAATTTCTGGGGATTCCACTCTCAGAGGTCACCTGCACTCCTATGCACACACAAACACACACAAACAAACACACACACACACACACACACACGTTAAAATGATAAAAAAAACAGAAAAAAAGAGCATGAACATGACAAATTTCAGACAAGGCAGATGTGGTAAAGTATTTGTAATTAAAAAGAGATTGGCACTGGGCAGTGGTGACACATGCCTTTTATCCCAGCACTTAGGAAGTCTGCCACCAATGCCTGGCAGACATATAGAGTGCTATTAAAGTTAGGTGAAGATGTTTTTGTTAATGACTTTGATGTAAAAATTCTTGAACAATTTTAAGTTTAAAAGGACACAATTTTGAGCCAGGCAGTGGTGGTGCATGCCTTTAATCCCAGCACCTTTAATCCTAGAGGCAGGTGAATCTCTGTGAGTTCAAGGCCAGCCTGGTCTACAAAGTGAGTTCCAGGAAAGCCTCCAAAACAATACAGATAAACCCTGTCTCGAAAAACCAAAAAAAAAAAAAAAAGACACAATTTTGATAATTGACCAAGGGACTTGTTGAGGTCAGGGAAGAAAAACAAAGGCAGCCCAGTTATTACTGGAGAATTCTGAGACTTCAGTGTCTTCCTGTCCTCAATGTGGCTGGAGAATGAATGCCTGATACTGACTGCTGAAGACCCTGCTCCTATCTTTTATACTTCTCTAGTGCTGGTATTAAAGGCATGTGATCCCAGGTGCTGAGGTCATCTTTGTGTGAGCTGTTTCTCTTTATGACTGGATCAATCTTGTGTAGATCTGGGTGGCCTTGGACTCACAGAGATCCATCTACCTCTTAATCCTGAGTCCTAGGATTAAATTGTGTACCACCACCTCCTAGCTTCTGGCTGCTGGGATTAAAGGTGTGTATCACCACTGCCTGATCTCTAGAGTTTGAGGCTGACTTTGCTTTCTGAATCCTCAGGCAAGTTTTAATAAATCATAAATAATATATTACCACATGAGTGCATATACAGCCTAAGGATTTAAAGTGAAAATAACTGATTGTTTTTCATATGTAAGAGTCCAGATTTGTGATTCTTTTAAGATTTTTTATAAGGTTACCTTTTGAGATAAATAATAAAATGATTGATCCTTTCTTTGTAACTGCTAAATGCAGCCTGCCAGTAAAAGAACTGGCTGAGAAAAATACCTTGCCTGCTGACACTTTGTTAATCTACAAGTTTCGTAGACATGACTGTATGTGGGTCCTTGGGGAACAATTTCTTTTTCGCCTGTAATATATAAAATGTTTAATCATGTAAGGAATACGGGAAACATGCTTTTTTTAAACTTGTATTCATTCACTTAAAAATAGAATGTAACCATACTATAATTTGTATATTACTTGAGAGATTTTGCTGGGGTATATAAGCTGTAAAGGGAACAATAGAGTTGAAGGAAGACAAAAGGAGAAGTTAGAAGAACACCAGGGAAGATGTAAGAGGGCATTAGAAAGGAGGAAGGGAAAAAATGAAAGAGAGGCCTAGCATGTTGAAGATGCATGTGTACATATGTGTGTTTCCCGCTTTTTCACCGGCCCCAGAAAATTAAGTTTCGCCCCCTCACCGGTCCCAGAGAATTAAGTTTTACTCTCTCAGATAAAAAAGTCAATTGTGTGATTATCCACTTTTCTCCTTCAGTTACTGAGCTGTTGAAAGCCGGCCTTACAGTAGCACCTAATGAGACCCTATCTAAAAATAAATGAATAATTGAAATGAAGGGGCATGGAGACTTGCTCCAGGTTCTAAGAAGCTGCTAAAACTAACACTGTATGGCAGGGTTGCATTCTCTGCGAAGGAGTCCTGAAAGGCTGTTGCATAACTCTGTGAAAGTGGAGCTTCCGTTGCAGTGGATAGCACAAGATACTGAAGACACAGCCCATGTCCAACATCTAGGGAGCCAGAAGGCAGCGTGATCCCTGGGGCTTGATGGCCAGCTAGTCTTGCTAATCAATGACATCTGAGTTCACAGATAGATCTTGTCTCAAAAATCAAATATAAGGTGAAAAATGATAGAAGATACCCTACATTGATCTCTGGCTTACACACACACACACACACACACACACACACACACACACACACACACACAATTAAAAAAACACACACACTATAGAATGTGGCTATTTCTTCCTGAGGTGGCCTGGGAAAATTTGAGCATAATTTCCATACCCAAGGCTCACATTATTCTCGGCAGAATGCAGTTTTCATGCCCACCTCAGTAAAAGCCTCAAGGACAAGATACAAGACAACTAGTTCTGCATTCTTTTCCTGGTTTGCCTGCCTCACGCCTTTTGCAAAGCGTCCTTTCTTTCCCTTCTGCTCTGGTTTCCTTGACAACTCCCTGTGCTGGCTAGTTTTAATTGTCAACTAGCCACAACCCAGAATCACCTGAAAAGGTTCTTATATTTTTGGTTGGGAGCCTAGCCTTTAACGGCTGAGCCATCTCTCCAACCCTGAAAAGGTTCTTAATGAGGAATCATCTAGATCAGGTTACCCGCAGGCCTGTCTGTGGGAGATTGTCTTCATGTAGTTAATTGCGGTGGAAAGACCCACCCGGAATGTGGGCAGTACCATCTCATGGGCAGGGCCCTAGACTGTGTAAGAGTGAAGAAAGCATCGGGTTGGACAACCTGAGTTCAATCACTAGGACCCACTTGATGGAGTGAGAGAAAGGATTCCTTCAAGTTGTCCTCTGACCTGTGCACGCACACTCATCTATGTTCAAATATACACACACCATGTGTGCATACAACAATAATAGAAAAAAATAATAATGGGGCTGGAGAGATGGCTCAGTCAGAGTGCACTTGCTGCTCTTTCAGAATATTGGAGTTCGATTCCCAGCACTAACATTTGCTACTTCCAGCTCCAGGGAACCCAACACCCTCTTCTGAAGTCCTTAGGCACACCCATGTATGTGGTGCACAAACACATAAATAATAAAATACTTCTTTTTAAATATGATGACACGTTCCTTTAATGCCAGCACTTAAGAGACAGAGGCAGGCTGATCTATGTGAGTTCTAGGTCATTCTAATCTACACAGAGAGCCCCAGGCCAGTAGGGGCTACATAATGAGACTGTCTTAAACTAATGAAAATTCACTGGGGAGAAAAATCTTGGTATGCCTAATACAAAGATAACACATTATGAGCATATTGTTGCCAGTACTTCATAAGGGACTTGGAGTATGAGGACGCTGGAAAAGGGAACCCAAATGTGATTGAAATTTGATGGCAATTCACAGGTTTTGTGTTTGGCAGCCGGTGCTGAGGAGCTGCTGGTATCCGAGGACTACAATTCCCAGAAACCCTCTGTGCGGGCTCCGGGCCCGGACGCAGTCTAGACTCTAGCGCTCTTGGTCCGAGCTGGGCAGGAGTCTGAGGCGACTGCGTTCATGGCGTTCCCTATCAAGGCAGTGATTGTTCCCGGGAACGGAGGCGGGGATGTAGCCACCCAAGGCTGGTACGGCTGGGTGAGAAAGAGGCTAGAACAGGTAAGGAATTTCAGCTCCTTCTCTGCGGTCAGCTTGGTCGGAGCGGAGGGAGGGAGGACGGAAGACGAGACTTGAGCCTGTGCCCGCCCACCCTCCAGATGAGCCCAGTGTGTGAGTCCTCGACAATGACCATGCTGCCTAGTCTTAGATTTAAACTAGGGGCCAGGATCATGCCTGGCGAAGCAGCTCAAAAAACTGAGGGCTCAGTTTTTGAGACTAAAGGAACCCTGTAGAGAATACTCCCTCCCTACACGCTGCTGTGAGTTCAAATTCGAAACTTCCCAGATAGTTTTATGTTTATATTCATTGCTTTAGATTAAAAAAAAATCGCCATGTGACATTTAATTTTTACAAAGGATGTATATAACGTATAATAAGCTACCAAACCTAGAAAAAAAAAAAAAAACAATTCGGTGCTATCCAAGCCCAAGGTGTCTTTGTGCCCTGTACCACTGAGCTACACTCTCAGCCCAAATTAAACTCTGGAACATTGCCACTGTCTTCTAACTGATCTGTCGCCTCCTGTCCCATCCCTATGACTGACTGAAGTTCATTTTGCTTCTCTTTAAATTACGGTATGCAGAAGGCGCCGTTGGAGGTAAGAAGACAACTTTGTGGAATCAGTTCTCTACCTTTTACATAGGTCTGGGAATCGAACTCAGGTGACCAGACTCGCACTGCAAGTGCTTTTCTGGCCCTCTTGCTACACCTTTTAAAATTTATTTACAGCCCTTGTGTATTATCTTGTATAATACTGTTTAATTTGGCTTCTTTGTGAGCTTTATAGAAACAGCATTGCACCCTCGCTCGTCCTGTGCTGCTTGACTTTTAAGAAAAGAAGAAGACCCCTTCCATAGTCCAGCATTTAGACAGTTTCCTACTTTGGCCTCTAGAATAGAATTTCAAGAGAAAATAGAATCTGTTTGGAATAAAACTTAAGGATTGTGGCTGAAAGCTATGGGCAAAGCTACCAACTCAAAGGTTGAGCTGGAAATGGCTAATAGGATGGGATAACCAACTTTCTCTATGGTCTCTATATTATTTTTTACTTTCTTTCTGTTTGGCTCAGGTCATTCTGTCTTTAGCACATTCACTTAGGCCTTCTCTATAGATCGATGCCTTGGAGATAAGCATGGATTGCAAGTGTAGACTGGGGTCTCTGTGTTCTTTTTTTTTTTTTTTTTTCCGAGAAAGGTTTCTCTGTATTGTTTTGGAGCCTGTCCTGGAAGTCACTCAGTAGACCAGGCTTGGTCTCGAACTCACAGAGTTCACCTGCCTCTGCCTCCTGAGTGCTGGGATTAAAGGCCTGCGCCACCACTGCCCAGCGGGGTCTCTATAAAACCGACAGAGAACTATATATGAGGTATATATTCATATTTAACACAATTTAATCCATTTCATTATATCTGCAAATATTTACTGGATTGAGCAAAATCATATCAAGTGTCACATTTTTTTTTTTAGTTTTAGTTGCAATTAAGCTCTTTATTTAGCTTTTTCTTCCTCTTTGTATCTCAGATTCCTGGTTTCCAGTGTTTGGCTAAAAACATGCCTGACCCAAGTAAGTTTTAAACCTGTTTTTGAAAAGCCTTATCTGTTAGATTTTGAGCTCACCATATGGGGAGTGGGGAGTGAGGAGCTAGGAAGCAGAGTTGTAGTGCAAGAACATAGATAAAAACATACTAAGAACGAGTAAAGCAAGGTGCTCCAGGAGGCAGGTGTAAGCCAAAAGATATGGAAGATTTCAGTAAAGAATCAAGAAAGGCACCTGGGCATGGTAAAATATGATTTTTAACTTTGTAAGCTATCGACTTAATCTTCCTTAAGTTTGCACAGGCATTTTCAGGCAGAATTTAGGTAAAACTGATAAAGCCTTACAGAATCTAGTTGAGTTCGTAAATATTTAAAAATGTAACATTGCCCCTTTTGTTATGGGTGCATCTTGGTTCAGGAAACAAATAATATATATTATACATGGGTTTTAGAATGTTTGAGAGAGAGAGAGAGAGAGACAGAGAGACAGAGAGAGAGAGAGAGACAGAAAGAGAGACAGAGAGAGAGAATGAGAATGTGTGTGCATGCACGTGCGCCTGCGCATGTTTTGTTTTTCTTGGTGCTGAGACTAAACCTAGGGTCTCACATCCTGGGCAAGCACTCTGCCCCTGAACTGTAGCTCCAGCTTAGGGGTATTTGTTTGCAAAGTTAAAAATTTTTTTTGAGATAGGGTTTCTCTGTATTGTTTTGGAGGCTGTCCTGGATCTAGCACTGTAGACCAGGCTGGCCTCGAACTCACAGAGATCCGCCTGCCTCTGCCTCCTGAGTTGCTGGTATTAAAGGCATGCGCCACCAACGCCCGGCACAAAGTTTAAATTTTTACATGAAAACTTCAAAGTTGAGGCCAGTGATGGTGGCACATGCCTTTAATCCTGATAGTTGGGAGCCTGAGGCAAGGAAATTCTAATATGGGCTACACAACAAATTACAGACTAGCCTTTGCTACATAGTAAGGCTCTTTCTCAAAAAAGAAAAACGGGGAGGGGAATCTTCACTTCAATTGTAATGTATTATTATTATTAACATAAGAACATGGTAGGAGAAGCAAAACTCCTTCCTAAAACCGCGGTACAGGGGTCTACTAAAACAGCCTCATCTCCCACTTGGGCCTCAGTTTAAAGTGGTAAGCTGCTGTTTATTAGAGGTGGGACAGCATCACTTACAGACTGCCCCCTCTGAGTACCATACTGTTTTACTCTGAACACAGTTACAGCCCGAGAGAGCATCTGGCTGCCCTTCATGGAGACAGAGCTGCACTGTGATAACAAGACCATCATCATAGGCCACAGCTCCGGGGCCATTGCAGCCATGAGGTATGACTGTTGAATTGCTACCCTGGTGTGTGTGGGTTGTGGCCACGCTTGCTTGGGAAATAGCTGTTTCTTAAGTTTCCATTGTAGGGGGGAACAATGCTGACCTCAAAAGTGGTAACATAATCTACCCTAATTTCTTCCTTGTTTGTTAAGGGATTGAAAGAAACAGATTGCTTTTATACCAGGTGCAGTGATCCTTTTAAAGTTTCTATAACTCGAAAGCTTCCTGTTATTCAGCTCTGTCTCCCTCCACCTCGTCTCTTCTCCCAACCAGGCCTACTGACGACGTCATTATAGTTCCTGGAAAATGCCAAGTACACACTTGCCTTGTCCTGCTCAGCCTTCTAGCAGGGACACCATCTTATAAGCTTCCTGGCTTTCTCTTACCGTGTCTCTGAATGTTCCATTTTGGGTGAAATCTAATAACTCCATATAAAAAAGCAGCCTCACCTTATTGCCTCCTCTATCTCCTTTATATTTTATTACCTTTATCACCCTACATTGATTCCTTGTCTACCCTATTAATAGAATGGAAGCTCCATGAAGGTGGGACTTTGTTTACTGACCAGGAATCATAGTGCCTGGGAAAGAGCCTGCACTCAGGACGCAGAGGCAGGCACATCTCTGTGAGTTAGAGACCAGCCTGGACTACAAGAGCTAGTTCTAGGACCGCCTCCAAAACCACAGAAACCTGTCTCTGAACCCCCTCCCCAAAAAAAGCCCTTTGGATTTATTAGGATTGTCAGCAACCTTCTAAGAATTGACTTGTAAAGTTAAGAGAGGCAAAGAAAAATGATGCCCAAATCATCAGTGTAAGGGTGTGGAGAAATAGCAACTAGTACAATCATAAGGGACACACTAGCTGACTTATTACTAAGGGATTTTGAGCTTTTTCAATATAAAGTGCTGGGAACACCTCAACACGTGATCAAACTTAATACCATTGATAATGGGACATATATCATGCGTTCCTGAAGTGATGGGAAAGCTATCTTGCCAAAAGTATTTAATCTCAGTCTAACTATGAGAAAATGAATTCAGTTTAGGGAACTGACCTAAACTCCTTTATAAAGAATATAGGCAGTGCTAAATTTATTGTGTATAATAATGGTACTAAGGTTATTTGTAGGAGACATATATTAAGGTAAGTGTGGCAATCTTAATCAATCTGGGTGCTTTCTGGGGAGGGGTGTTATTCTTAAGAATGAGACTCTAGCCCTAAACATTTCCTAGCACAAAAGCCTCTTCAGAGTCTCACATTTTTCCTTAGTCTGCTATTGGCATCTGCAAATAATGAGATGTACTTGTGGGGTGCTGCTCAGGGAGCAGCAAGGCTTTTCCTGTCCTTAAAGAGCCAATGAGTTTGTCTGGGAGTGGGGACAATTGTAATACAACACAAATGAGAATGCATGTGGGGGGGGCAGTACAATTATTTTTCTGGCATTGTCCAGTTTTTCTTAAATTGCAGGTTCCTGGGCCTTAATCCCATTTCTCTGAATTCCATGCTCTGGGGTTGAGCCAGGAATCTGAATCAGAATGTTGGCCAATGTGCTGAATACAAAAGGTGGATGAATGCATATGTCAATGATTGAGACATTTTCTTGCTGTTTTCCATCTGTCTCAATAGCACATACTATTGAACTTATATCAGCTAGCTTACTGCTTTTCAGATTTAATAACACCATGTGTTAACGCCACTGTTTCTCATCGCAGGTATGCAGAGACACATCAGGTATATGGTCTTGTATTGGTATCTGCATACACATCAGACTTGGGAGATGAAAACGAGCGTGCAAGTGGTAAGTCTTTGGGGAGGACACCCAGGAAACCCCTTCCCTAGACATGGGACAGACACAAAGCATTCTCAGATAGCCCTAGAAAGATAAATCTAATAGCAAATGAGAGAGTTTCCACCTACCTTTGGAGGTAAGATAGATCTCTCTTCCAACCTGAAGTCTAGAATGAATCCCAGGACCTGGTTTTATTTGAACCTCTTTGTCTTGGCAAGTCAGTATAGTATCCAGCTCTACAGATAGGAAAACCAAAGAACTGTTCTGAACTCAAGACAGGTTTTCATGCAAAGTATATGAGTGACACCTTTTCCTTTTTAAAATAAAAATTTGGCCGGGCGTTGGTGGCGCACGCCTTTAATCCCAGCACTCGGGAGGCAGAGGCAGGTGGATCTCTGTGAGTTAGAGACCAGCCTGGTCTACAATAGCTAGTTCCAGGACAGCCTCCAAAGCCACAGAGAAACCCTGCCTTGAAAAACCAAAATAAATAAATAAAATAAAAATTTTCTTTTACTGGGGGGAAGAAAACATGATTAAAGGTCCCAAATGTTCTTAGAACTCTAGCTGCCGTTTCAAGCTGGCTCAAGAGGGCCCCACTAGACATTTCAGATGTCTAGGGTGATGATTCATGCATATCTATAGGCTATTTTTTTCCTACAGGGTACTTCAGCCGCCCCTGGCAGTGGGAGAAGATCAAGGCCAACTGCCCTCATATTGTACAGTTTGGCTCCACTGATGACCCCTTCCTTCCCTGGAAGGAACAAGCAGAAGTGGCAGATAGGCTGAACGCCAAATTGTACAAATTTGCCAACCGTGGTCACTTTCAGAACACAGAGTTTCATGAACTGATTAGTGTGGTAAAGTCTATGCTGAAAGTACCAGAATAGTCAGGGTGAGTCCTGCTCTGTAGCATGCCAGAATGGGGTGGAATAGCATCTGCTACCACACAGTACTAGGCATGAAATGTCCAGTTAAGCTACAGAAGTGCCTAGACAACAAGCTTGTTTGAACATACACTAAATTACTGTCATTTTCAGTCCTCATAGAATTTAAATCTTCTTGAAAAGCTGTAACTATGGGAGTACTTTCCTGTTTGATGGGGGATACAGAGTTTAGCCATCCTGTTGATCCAGAGCGTAAGTCAGAGTGTAGAACCAAACATGGAGCTGTGTCCCTGTAATCCCAGCACTATAGAAGAGAAAGCAAGGTGAATGCTAGCTTGACCCTGCCTCAGAAAAGCAGCAGCAAGTAGACCCTGGTATCCTGAATCTCATTCCAAATTATAACTCAGTAGCCTTTGCAAGGTGTGACCCACTCCTGAGACTTAGAAAGCTGAAGAAGGTGGATCTTGAATTTGAGGCCTCCCTAGGCTAAATATTTAGCAAAACTCTGTCTCAAAAAACAAGACAGGTTTTCATGCAAAGTATATGAGTGACACCTTTTCCTTTTTAAAATAAAATTTTTCTCTTACTGAGGGGAAGAAAACATGATTAAAGGTCCCAAATGTTCGTAGAACTCTAGCTGCTGTTTCAAGCTGGCTCAAGATAATAAACTCAAATTTGGTCTTCATCACTGAAATCCCTGACCCGAGTCCTTCTGACAGGTTGAGAGACCAATATATAAGAATGCTGAGTCTGCATATCCTGCCACCTGTATACCAACTTCAGTAAGACTAGCAGGATTAGGTCATAAGGGAGTGTTGCAGTATAGAAATGTGACAAGTATGTATGTATGTCTTTTTTGTTGTTGTTGTTTTGTTTTTCGAGACAGGGTTTCTCTGTATTGTTTTGGAGGTTGTCCTGGAACTCGCTCTGTAGACCAGGCTGGCCTCAAACTCACAGAGATCCCCCTGCCTCTGCCTCCTGAGTGCTGGAATTAAAGGCATCCGCCACCAACGCCTGGCTATGTATGTCTTTTTTTAAGCTGTGGAACAGCTTAAATCCCTACATTAATTATGGCAGCTGGGAACACTACAATTAAAAGATTTGCAAAAGCTACAGGTCATCCATTTGTGAGCTCAGTCATAAACATTTTAGATTCTCTACGAAGTACAGGCAGTGATAGTGCACACCCTTAATCCCAGCACTTGGGAGGTAGAGGCAGATGGATCCCTATGAGCTCGAGCCCAGCCTGGTCTACAGAGCAAGTTCTAGGATAGCCAGGACTACACAGAGAAACTTTGCGGGGGGGGGGGGGGTCGCTAAGATAACCAAAAGAAGGTAATGCTAGAGGGTGGAAAACAAGGGAGCATTCTGTACTGTTAAGTTTTAAGTAGCTTCAAAAAGAATTTTTCCATGATGCAAATTTAATTCTGTAAAGAATTCAACCTCTTAACTTCTAGAGATCATTCAAGCATCATTCCAAGATTTTTTTTTCTTTTGGTCTTTCGAGACAGGATTTCTCTGTATTGTTTTGGAGGCTGTCCTGGAACTAGCTCTATAGATCAGGCTGGCCTCGAACTCACAGAGATCTGCCTGCCTCTGCCTCCAAAGTGCTGGGATTAAAGGTGTGCGCCACCAGTGACTGGCCTCCAAGATTTTTTTTTATACTCTCACAATAACCCCTTCTTATAAATGTACTTTTTTTTGTTTTTATGAGACAGATAAATGTACTTTTATATTAGCATATATTTGATGTACAAAATATTTCACTCTTGTTTCTAATGTACTTCTATCATATGTAAAAAAGTAAATAAAACTTTTATTTCCCAGGATTTTCTGACTGTTGTGATGCCAAAGATCCCCAGTGTATTTAAACTTGGTAACACAGAACCTGTGACTGTTGCAGAAATGTAATTTTCCACATTTATCCCTAGATGGATTACAAAGCTGTTGTGAAATGATTTGGGGTTTCTAAATGTAATATAAATTAGTACAGACTCTTTAAACAATAGGTGTCTTTGGAGGAAAGAAAGACAATTATATAAGTCTATTTAAGTGTTCATGTGGGAATGGACAGTATCAGGAATAGTTATTTATTAATGTATACACACAGTGTTTTTTGAGACAGGGTTTCCCTGTGTAACAGCCCTGTCTGTCCTAGAACTTGCTCCATAGACCAGTCTGACCTCAAACTCAAAGAGATTCTCCTGCCTCTGCCTCCCGAGTGCTGGGATTAAGGGTGTGTGCCACCACTACCGGATAAGTGAATATATCTTTATCCTATAGCAGAAAACAACCTGTGAACTGATGTTATTTATGTAAGTTAATAACTTTATAATAATTAAAAAACAAAAGCAGAGTAAATAATCACTAATCTCAAATTCAAGTAGACTCAAACTTGGATTATAGGTTTGGTTCAATCACTGCTAAAAAATCTGCTTACATAAGATATAACTATTAATGTTTTTAAATTAATTTGTTTTTTTACTACATTTAAAATGAGTTGCTTAAAATCTTAATTATAAACTAATACATTTCAGTGTAAGATTCAGTAATCCCTGAGGGAGAGCATACAAATGAGTTCTCTGTTGAGCTATGCTGTCTAGTACAAGCAGTATCCAAAGGCAACTAAGTCAAATCTTAGTTGTTTAATCACTTGTTTCGAGTGCTGGCCAGCCAGCTGGCTCAAGGTTACTGTACTAAATACCAAATACTAAGTGTTTCCATCATTATAGAAAATGCTACTTGGCCAGATGTTATGGTGCATACCTCTAACCCAGCAGGAGGGAGGTAGAGGCAGGATCGAGTTCAAGATCCTGTCCTACTGGACCACACTGCTGCAGGGCACATATTTTGCATTTATCCTTCACCTGTCATATAGTAAATTCAAAACCACTTTTCTTCTCTTCGCTGTTGAGCTGATGGTTGGGCCAAAGGCCTCCTAATACCAGCTATGTGTCCGTCCCACCATGGGATTGAATTATTTGACTACTTTGCTTAATTATTATCAAAACCCTTATATAAAACAGTTATTGTCAAATTGGGAGTTTTATGTGAGAATTCATGAAAAACCATTAAGTGGACTTATGTGAATTTTGTTTTTCAAGACGGGGTTTCTGTGTATATCCCTGGCTGTCCTGGAACTCTGTAGGATCAGGCTGGCCTTGAACTCAAGAGGCCTGGACCTGCCTCTGTCTCCCAAGTGCTTTAATTAAATGTATGCACCACCATGGCTGGCAATGTCTAATTTTTTATGGACCCCCCCTTTTTGGGGGGGGTTTACAAGACAGGGTTTCTCTGTATTGTATTGGAGGCTGTCAGTCCATCCCAACCTCGAACTCACAGAGATCCGCCTGCCGCTGCCTCCCAAGTGCTGGGATTAAAGGCGTGCGCCACCACTGCCCGGCTTTATGGACCACTTTTAAACAGTGTCTGCAACAGACTAGAGTATATGTTCTCAGGTGAGCAAAATACCTAATGCTAACTGGGAAAGACAGAAGTATCTGGACTTCATCTGCAGTTTAGCTTTGTGGCATCTTGATTTTAGAGGCCCATGATAATAGCTTATTTCTATAGGCAAATTCATTTTATTTATAGCACAGTTGCTACATTTTGTTAAATTTATCTATCCCTCTCAGTTAATAGAGTAAATAATATGCTGCAAGCAAAAAATGCTATGAAGAAAAACTTTTTAAGTATCTCTTTATTTTGGTGAGGCAAGGAACACTGACTGCAAGTCTAAAACTTAGTATCTAATTACCAAGACGATAGAAAGCCAGGCACGGCTGCAAAATGCCTGTAATCCCAGCACTTGGGAGGCTAAAGCAGGACTACCATAAGTTCAAGGCCAGCCTAGACCACAAAGTAAACTCTAGGCCAGTGTGGGCTAGAGTGAGAGTCTTCTCCAACAAAACAACAGACAAAAGACGGAATACAGAGCATATTTTTAAAAATTTGATTCTTTCTTCCCTTTTAACTCTCCTACATATGTAGTTATGTAGTAACTAGTAAAATAAGACTAGTACTTATCTGATAGCCAGGCAGAACCTGTGAACACTTCTTAGCATGTGAGCCCCCACTAAAGGTAGAGGAGAAACCTGCATTTTATATATAATCTAACACTTAAAAAGAGCTGGTGTCATTACATGCTTATTCTATAGAGTTGGCCGTAGAATTTGTCTGATAAAAATGACCCAGCGAATAGGAGTTTACTGGTCCCACTTATCTCAATGTAACTCTAATGATGCTGTTCACTTAGAATACTGCCAAATGGTGGTAGAGCTAAGCCCCCAAAACGGTGAAGTGTGAACCCTTTCAGTTGGCCCATGTTTTGCATAAACTTTTAAATCACAAAGTAAAAGTAGGCATAGTGGAAGAGTTCTTTAATTCCAAAACTCAGAAGGCAGAGGCAGGTGGATCTCTGAATTCAAGGTCAGCATGGTCTACAATGTTTCAGGATAACCAGGGCCACACAGAAAAACCTTGTCTCAGAGGAAGAGGGAAGAGAGAAAGTAATTATCAGCTGCTGAGATCCTTAAAAGGCATATGTCTATCTTCTGTTTAACAGCATGACAATTAGTGTTTTCCAGTGCCCAATGGCTGGGACTAAGGAACTACAGTGATTGCTTTCTGCTTAGATACATCACACCATGGTTTTCAGAAAAGAATAAGAAAAAAAGAGACCGGCCTAAAATACTGTAAAAAGACAGGTTCCCACCCCTCAGAATGAAGGGCAATGATCTACTTTTATTTTTGAGACAGGGTCTCTTTCTCTATAGCCCTGGCTGTCCTGGAACTCACTATGTAGATCAGGCTGGTTTTGTTTTGTTTTGTTTTGTTTTTTTGAAATTTAAATTCTGTATGTCTTTGTATGTTTTTTTTTTAAAGATTTATTTATTTATTACATATACACCAGATTGAATTGTAGATGGTTGTGAGCCACCATGTGGTTGCTGGGAATTGAACTCAAGACCTCTGGAAGAGCAGTCAGTGCTCTTAACCTCTGAGCCATCTCTCCAGCCCCAGGCTGGTTTTGAACTAACCAAGATCTGCCTACCTCTGCCTGCCAAGTGCTAGGATTAAAGGAGTATACCACCATACTTATAACTATAATTTTGCTACTGTTATGAACTGTAATGTAAATGTCAGGGTTTTCTGAAGGTCTCAGACGACCCCTTAAAAGGGTTGTTCAAGCCCCAAAGGGGTTGCAACCCACAGGTTGAGAACTGCTGTTATAAACCGGTGGTTTATTATGATTCTGAAAGCTGGGAAGTCCAGTATGCTGGTAGATTTACTGTCTAACAAGGGCCCACTTCCTTATTCTTTCCCCTGTGCTCTCGACTGATAAGAGAGCCAACAGAATACTTTGGGTCTCTTTTATACAAGCCTAATTCCACTCATGAAGATCTACACTAATGATCTGTCACCTTCCAAAGGTCCTACTGATCACATTGCACACGGGGATTAGATTACAAAATTTGAATTTGATGCTGCTGGCAGAGAGGGTCAAACTATAGGCATGAAGTAAGAATCTGAAAAAAATTCCAGCAAATAGTACAATTAAGCCATACAGAGAGATTTACAACCTTAACAAAAAAGGACTTGTGAGATTATTCCCTTTAGGATGGAATATCACTGATCTGAACTTGTGTCCTGGACAGAAGTCAGTGTGGCAGCACGCTCCTCTGAAACAATACTGCTGAAGTGAAGAGGGACGGACAGTGTGGGAAAGGGATGTCCACTTTATATTCAGGCCCCAAGTCTGCACACATCCCAACATCAGCTGTTCCTGCCTGCACCACTTGTAATTTCTTCTCAATGAAACCCAAGAAAGAACCAACAGAAATGGTGACAATAAACCTGATATGATGAGTTCCAATGAAGACATTAAGAAGTAATTTTATATGTCATCTTCACGCTCAAGCTGTTATCACAGTACTTGGTTAGTGTAGGTTTGCTGGCTTCTTTTTCCTTGGTCTTCCAGAGCTTCAAGATATTTTCTTACTTCAGAAGAGACTTTGCTATTAAACTTTATTAAACTTCATCTGCTTTGTGTTCCATCTTTGGAAATAAATATGTTTTCATAGCAGCAAGTCAGTATCCATTATATAGAAGTGTCCTTTCAAAGAAACTGAATGTTCTATCATGAATTATTTGTTCTCCAAGTAATTCATTTGCCAAATGTTAGTAAACGTCACAGCTCTCTATTAAAATTCGAGCCACTCTGTCATGTAAATACAATTAGATGGTGAAATCTCACCACCTTCATGGCAGTCATCAAAAACCTTAAAAAGAAACACAAAAAAAGTTCAACATTCAACATTAAAGTTTTGGGTTTTGTTTTTTTGTTTTGGTTTGGTTTTTGGTGTCTGGAGACAGGGTTTCTCTGTAGCTTTGAAGGCTATCCTGGAACTCCCTCTGTAGACCAGGCTTGCCTCGAACCCATAGAGATCCACCTGCCTCTGCCTCCCAAGTGCTGGGATTAAAGGCATATGTCACCACCACCTGGCTTCAAATTAAAGTCTTAAAATATCAAACCCCCATTGATTTAAAGTAGTACTAACAGAAGAAAAAAAAGAAAACACTCTTTGAATGGATTAGGACTGTATTTAGGAGCACAATATAACAGTGTCTACTTTGTGATCATAGCTTTTTGTTTATAGCTTGTTTTTATTATTATTTTTTTGAGGCAGAGTCTCACTATATAGCCCCAGCTGTCCTAGAACTCACTATGTAGAACTCACAAAGCTCGGTCTAACAAGTGCTGGGATTAAAGGTGTACACTATCCTGCCTAGCTTGGAGGCCTATTAACACATAAAGGTGACCCCCATTCACCTGCCCACTGGTAAAAGGCTATTAGCAGGTTCATAGGAGTAAAGAAAGTGAGTCCTATACTTAGGAACAACTTAATTTGTACTAAACTGAAGTTTAACTATCTTTGCAAGGTGTTAAGTAGGACATTCAGGATGTTGGATTTTGTTTAGAAGTTGAAACAGGGTCACAGAAAGCTTAGGGGTATAGACAAGGGTTATCATAACTAATATGTCAGAATAGCAGCCCAAGAATGTAAATGCCACAGGGACAGGGAGTGCTTTTGCTCTCTAGCCTCAGTGTCCAGCACAGTGTTTATAAAGTACCTAGGAATGAGTGCATTGTATGTATTCGAAGTGACATTTTCTGCTTCAGTCTAAGTTTCTTCTTTTCTGGGGAGGGCACTAGGGGTTCAAAGCTGGGGTGAAAGGCCCAGTGTATACTAAGCATGTGCTCTGCCACTGAGTCACACTCAGCCCTATGTTCCCTCACTCTTTAGGGGTAATAATGCCACCAGTGCCACGGGCACAGAAGGATTAGAGTAAGTTTGACTCATGGTAGCTTTTCAACAAATTTCATTTCCCTCCTACAGAGGAGAAATGGTTAGTCCCAATGAAAATCTATCCATTTCAGGGTCAAGAACAGAAGGACATGCCCCTATCCTGAATGTTCCAAGAAATAACTTAAGACCTGTTCATTAACAATCTGTCTCTCAAGAGTCTGTGGCGGTTTGAATAGCTCACGTGACATGACACTTGCTGGGAAACCTGGTGTGCCCGTTCTTTCTTTATGTGGCATTTGCACATGGTGGTGATAAAAGTATAAAATAAAGCAGCTTTTACTTACGGGGCAGAGTCCACAGGGTGCCCGGACTAAGCCTGTAGGTGGGAGGATTGGGTTGACTGCCCTGTACAGTTTCATGTGTCCATCTACACTGCCAACAGTGCCTTCCTTTGCAGCAATGATAGTCATCTCGACTTTCCCATCATAAATGAGTGTGTTCAGGATGGTTTCAATGTCCTCCATGGACAACTCCACCTAGAAAGCATGCATGAAGGACAAGGAAGCATCCTTTCAGAGAAATATTACAAACAGCAAAGAGTCATGGTTGTTTAGGGAAGTGGAGAAGCCATGTTCTGGGGAAGAGTAATGGAAGGCACAAAGAAGAGTAAGTCATATTAGCTCCGACCACTGAAATGCTGAGGACAGAAGTCTAAATTCATGCAGAACTTCACACTGACTGATGTCCTCACCATTCTTTAAAAAAACAAAAACAAAACTCAGAATCTTACGAGGTAAGATTTTTTTGGGCAGGAATTTGACAGAAAAGGGGAGCGGTTGGAACACCATGACACAAGACCACTAAAAAGGTCGGGAATACAGCTCGGGGGCAGAACATTTACTTAGCATGAGCCCTGGGTTCAATCCCTAGCATCACACAATAATCACAACAAAGAGCCTACCCAAAACCACAAACAGGAAATCTCCTTCCCCAAGAATTTGATGGTGATTTTTCTTTTTTCTAATGAGACAGGTTTCTCTGTGTAGTCCTGGCTGTCCTGGAATTTGCTCCTGGAGGTCTACCTACTTCTTCCTTCCAATTGATGGACATTCTTGAAATGACTTTAAACAGAGAGACACTTGAGCCATGGAATAATTCTAGTTTCTAGTTTTTATCAGTGAGAAATCTGGGAACCAGGAAGTGAAGATGATTTGTCCAAATGCCACTTGGGCTTCTTTGCTGATCATGAAAAGCATCAGTGTATTCATGTACAGGTCTTCAAAAGGGTGCTGATGATACTACTTACATTTCATTAGGTAAGAACATACCAATAAATGACACTAGTGTGTCAAGCTCAACTGTCACACAATCAAGAACTTATTAGTACAACTGGGTGGTGACAGCACTGCCAGGACTGTGCTCAAAAATAGTTCAGCTAGAGTCAGACCACCATGAAGGCCTCTGCCTACTTTAGGACAGCACTTTCCCAAAGTGGGTTCAGCACAGTGTGTACGTAAAAGGGGTGCTGGGTCAAATACACAGTAAGCTACAGCCTTGTGAAGACAACTACACCTTATATGACAGTGCAGAAAGTAAGTTCTGACCTTACTGATGCCGAGTTCACAGATGTACTTCCATACTTCATGTGATGAAGCGAATGAACTGTTTCTTTGAATCATTGGATTCTGTTTACTTTCTCTTGCTGTTTCTGCCTGGAAGGTTGAAACAAGAAGTTTAAGCAAGAATGCATGCTCGTGCTTTTTGAAGTTAACACATGCTACACCAACAGCAGCAAATTGTTTAGTAAAAATTTCCAATTTTAGGATTTTTCAACCTTATAAAATAGGATACACAAGAGTAAATCTTTCATGGAGCAGATATTTAAAGGGCTTATGATATTTCCTTAATGACCTCACCTTGGTTTGTAGGAATTTGAAACACTGTTGGTTAAGCACCTCAACAAATTCAGATTCAAAATCCTGGTCACTGTACCACGCTCCACCAGTCACAGATCGGTCTGGCTGCAGGTTATAGAGCATATAAACCTTCTTTTTGGAGGCCTAGGAAAGAATATACACAGATCATTTGTTTATAACCTTTTCCAGAAACTAAACCTAAAAACTAAAGTTTATCTGTTAGAACATTTTTAGATGTGTAGAAAGCATTACTGCAAAGATAGCCGAGTAACCGAACTTGGGATGGTTGGCTAAAGTGAGGGCCACCTTTGGGGGGAGGGGGTAGACAGTGTCTCTAACCTGAGAAGGAACTATACTGCATCCTGCACTGCTCATGGCTCTCTATGCATAGTAGGATCAGGAGCCTCATGGGAAGGAAAAGAACACTGGTTTAGATATGGTGTGATACATAAGCACATTTTCTGTTGTCTTCGGTTTTATAGACACCATTCTACAAGTACTTAGGTTAGCCCCTATTCCTCTAACCCCTAGGGGTATAATTTCCAAAATTCTGCCACATTTAGTTACTTAGTGTGTGTGCATATTTGTGTATGTCTGTGCCTATTACCCACAAAGGCTAGAAGAGGGTGTCAGATCCCCTAGAACTAAAGTTGCAGACAGTTGTGAGCCACCATGTAGGTGCTAGGAATCGAACCTGAGTCCTCTGGAAGAACAGCCATTGCTTCTAACTGCTGAGCCATATCCAATCCCTAGTTTCTAGTTCTACATTCCACTCTGGCATCCCCCTAATTTCTAAGTGACTTTTATAAAAGTTAAAAAACAATGCAGATAGCTGGGTATGGTGGCATACACATGTAAATCCCAGCAATCAGGTGGTTAAGGCAGAAAAGATCCAACATTCAAGACCAGCCCTAGTTACATTACTTCTCTCTCAAAATAAAACAGTACAGTTAAGATTACTCTGTGCTGTGTCTATAGGCTTCAATACACACTTAACACTCTTGTATATAGACTAGTTAGCTGCCCCAAAACATTTATTGTGCTTCATCTACGCAATATTCCCCATGACCCTACTACTCCCAAGACTGGCAAATGTTTGTCTTTTTACTGTCTTAACAGTTCTACTTTCCCACAATGTCACCTAGTTGGAGTCATAGCATGTTGCCTTGTCAGCATGACTTCTTACACCAAGCAATAGGCATTAAGATCATTCCATGTCTTCATGACAGGTCACCTTTCTATCACTGAATATTCCAGATAGAGAGAAAAAGAAAAGAAAACCACCAATATGGTGTAAGAGACACAGGACAGGGACCTTTCTCTGACTTGGTTATTAATGTATTCCAAGCTCAGGGCAGTACTTGCCATAGCCCAATCAACAGACACTTGCTGAGTAAGATAATGTGTAGGACAAATAGAGTTATCTCACACAACATGAAAACTAGGAAATGTATTCAAGACGCCAGAATTTCTTACTGAATATAGTACAAAGTCTGAAATGGCAAGACATCAAGAGTGCAGGAGGCCGCAGCTTTAAGTCAGCACAACAGGAACTAAATTTTTAGTCCTTTTTAAAACATTTGTCTTAAATTCCAACATAAATTAAAGAATGAAAGGCTGAAAACACAGCTGGAACAGCTTACTTAATTGAATTTAAGGGAAGAAACCCAGGAAGCCAACTACTTACTGCTACAGACTTCACGGCTTTGATAAGCTTTTTACTTTCCAAATTCTTGAGAATTTTGTTGATTTCTGTTAATGGCAAGTTACTTTTGTATCGAATATCTCTGCTCCATATTCCTGTAAGAAAGTAGGAAAGCTGACAGCACATCCTTTAACACGAAGTTTTATAACTGTTTTCAGAAACTTAAGAGCCTAAAGACAAAAAAAAAAAAAAAACAACAACAAACAAAAAATTGTATAAAGAAACAAAAGTACAAGAGTCAGTAACCAGGTGTATGTTTTATATTCTAACTGGAAATTTCTTTGAATCTCAGTGTGTTTTGTTTTTTGACAGGGCCTCACTGGCCTGGAACTTGCTGCACAAATCAGGCTGAACAAGAACTCAGACATCCACCTGCCTCTGCCTCCTGAGTACTAAAATAAAGGGATGCCTCATCATCTAGTGCATCTTCTAAAGAATATATACCAAGAACATCTTTGTAATAGAGAAAAACATATGAATGGGGTTGAATTAACTTATATCCTATCTCTCATTCAATCCTTTACCCTAATCTCAACTTTCTGACAGTTTCACTTAAGACTGTAAAAATTAAAAAAGGAACTTAAATTTAGGTTGGGGTCATCTGCCATCTTCAACAAACAAACAAACAAAAAAACAATAGTTTAGCAGTTTTAATGCATGTACTTCTATTATTTAAGCAACATTCCATTTGTAAGAGAGAAAAAAATAAAGCTGTGGTTTTCTTTCCACAAAAGAAAGTTGTACATGCGGACAGAGAGTATGTACAAAACATATGTGCTCAGCTGCAAGTGAACGGGCATGCCTGCAATCTCACCACTAAGGCAAGACAAGAAGATAATATGAAAACCTGGCCTACATAGTGGGATCCTCTCTTTAAAAATAAAATGAAATAAACAGAACAAAGAAACATGTTAGGTCTAGACCTAAAGATAGTGCACCATCCTTCACATGCTCACCTTTATTCCCTGCATCCTCTATGATTTGGTAGACTAGTTTTTCTTGGTTATCGGACCCCTTCATTTTACTGCAGGGAATAAAGCAGAATTAAAAAAGGAAAAAAATGTGGGTTGTGTTATCATCTGCATAACTACTTAAGCTAATAAGCAGCCAAGGACATCACACTGACTTATTTACCAAAAGAAGGGCTTAACTTAAAAAAAGAATGAGACAGAGCTGTGTGTATCAACATGAAAAGATGTCCAAGGTACAATAAGTGAAAAAAAAAACCAAAAAAACATGTTACAAAACAGTATGGATAGCATGATCCAGTTTTGTTTTGTAAAAAGAAAGAAAAAAGAGATAATATATAAATATATAATCACCTATGAATCTAGAAGAAATTACCAAGAACAGTTACTCTGAGAAATGGACACAAAGGACAGAGAGCAGGGATGGTATGAGTTTACATCAGTTTGTTTTGTTTTCTTATTGTAAGGCAGGTTCTTTTGATATATAGTCTAAACTGTCTTCCACCTCAAGATCCATCTGTCTCTGTCCCCCAAGTGTATCAAGATTATAGGTGTGCACCACTACACTTAGCTACATTAAGTATACACAGACAGACAGACAACACTCACACACAATAACATATATATGTATATATATGTATATATTATACACCATTGATTTATTTATTTGAGACAGTCTCACATAGCTCAGGCTGGCCCTGAACTTGCTGTGTAGCTAAGGATGACACTAAACTTTTTGTCCTACTTCCCAAGCGTGTAACGCGAAAAATAAAAGACCCAGAGACAGATATTTGGGTCAAACTTTAGGTTGATGAACAGAAAAGCAAAGTAGCGGGCCACTAACTCTTACCACTACCTCAGGTTGAATAGGCTGATCCTACTGCCTCTCCTCAGAGTGGCTGAAGAATCCTCAATGAGGCTGGAGAATGAATGCCTGATACTGAGCCTTCCTATCTTCAGCGTGGCTGGAAAATCAATGCCTCCTATCCTCAATGTGGCTGGAGAATGAATGCCTGATTCTGAGACCTTGCCCCTCTTATGAGTACTGGGATTAAAGGTGTGAGCTATAATTCTCATTCTCTCTGCTTTTTGCTATAATTCTCTTTTATACTAATTCACTCTTGTGTAGATCTGGGTGGCCTCAGACTCATAGAGATCCATCTACCTCTTAATCCTCAGTCCTAGGATAAAAAGTGTGTACCACCACTGCCTAGCTACTGGCTGCTGGGGTTAAAGGTGTGTATCACCACTGCCTGATCTCTATAGCTTGAGGCTGACTTTGCTTTTCTGAATCCTAGGACAAGTTTTAATAAATCATAAAAAATATATTGCCACACAAGTGCTGAGATTTGGGTGTGTGTCACAATACCTGTTACTATATTAGCTTTTCTTTTCTAATACGTACTTTACGTTTATATAACAAAAATTTTCTTAAAATTAAAAAACAGGTGTTTGGGCAGAGGTAGCACATGCCTTTAATCCCATGGAAGGCAAAGGCAGGCAGATCTCTGTGAGTTCGAGGCCAACCTGGTCTACAGAATGAGTTCCAGGATAGCCAGGACTGTTAAGCAGAGAAACCTTGTCTTGAAGAAAAACAAACAAACAAAAACAAACAAACAACAACAAAAAAAAAAACACAGGTGCTTACTTACCCAGCATTTTGAGATTCTTTTATTCTATATAAAAGGCCTGTATTGCTCCTTAAGAGATCCAACTGACCCTAAAGTGTTTAAAATAGAAAACTGTAGTCAATTACTCTGGAAATACATCAAGTCCAATAGTAAGTGTCAATACAGTTTTAAATGTGTTTATTATACAGACTAAACTATGCTGTCTCTCACATTTGTCAGTTCCTTACCTGAGACTAAGGATTTTGCCTACATCACAAACAAGGTATTTTTAAAAACTTAACTGTCTCAAGATATTACAAGCTAGAGGAGAAATTAACAATGTCTCAAATGCTATCTTGGCTTGGTCATTTGGCCAGGGCATAAACAACTTTTTAAAAAATTTATTTCTTACTGTATATAGGTATTTTGCCAAGATGTATATCTGTGAATCACATATATACAATGCTGATGGAGACCAAAGAATGACACTGCTTCCCTGGAACTGCAGTTACAGCCTGGTGTGAGCCATCATGTATGTGGGTACTGGAAATCAAACTCAAGTCCTCTGTAAGAGCATCAAGTGCTCTTAACCCTGAGAGCTGAAGAGATGACTCAGCAGTTAAGAGCTGTTCTTAAGGAGGACTGGGGTTCAGTTCTCAGCACCCACATGGTGGCTTACAACATTGTGTGACTTTACTTTCAGGGAATCCAGTGCCCTTTTCTGGCCTTTGCAGGTACCAGTCATCCATGCTGTGCACAGACAATACATGCAGGCAAAACACTCACATACATTAAATAATTTTTTTTTCAAGACAGGCTTTCTCTGTGTAGCTTTATAGACCAGGCTGGTCTAGAACTCACATTGGTATGCCTGCCTCTGCCTCCCGAGTGCTGGGATTAAAGGCATATGTCACCATCACCCGGCATAAATAAATCTTTTTTTAAAGCTACTTTAGGATAATATAAAAATCCATACTGAAATTCAAAAAAATCCAAATTACATAAAGTATGAATACATATAATTATAAATAATATTAATAAAAATTCAGTCCAGATAAAGTATAAACATAAATATTCAACAGCACATTAAAGTTAAACTATGAGTTATTAGTGACATTTACTAATATGTACAATTTTAATTATGTGATAGGAGAATTAGGCAGAAAGGTCAACCAATGAACAAAAGGTCTCTAGTGTTGGTATGCTATATAATGAAGCAAAGTAAGATAAAGTATGTTCTACCATGCTTTTGAACCTCCTTGGATCCTAGCATTTGGAGAATTCAGATGTGTACACCACTGGACTTGCAGCGATTATAGGAAATTATAACCAAGAAGGGGCCCTACCGTGTGTTAAGACTGTAAAACATGTTTACATACTGGATAAATGGCAACACCCTCCCTCCTTCCCCAATTTACCAAATGGCAAAGTGGGACCACAAAACTCAATTCAGAAGCTTCCTTCTGTCATTTACTCAGTCTATTCTAGTCACTCACTAAACACCTATACTGTCCCCTGCTGCTAAAGGGACAATCTGTTGACATAATTATAAGACTGAGGGTATCATGCAAGCTAGGTGAGTGTTCTACCTCTGAGCTACACTCTCAGGCCAAAACAAATTCTAAAAAGGGAGCACAGAGATGACTTCAATACTATCCAGTTGGCATTAAGAGAGAAACAATGGTGGATACAAACTCAGAGAAATTACTGTTGCGAAACCTGGGGGCTCCAGGTAGCTTCCTGACAGCCGCAGAGCTGAGTCCTAAAGGATAACAAAGAAGCCCAGAAATCTCCAACACCTCTTTTTCTTTGGGTGAAAACAAAAGTCACTAGCCCACTGCTTGTGTTTTTACTAATAAAATTTCATCAGAAAAAGTTGCACCCTCATGTGTACATATCACTGTTCATGGCTTGTGGCTGCTTCTTGTTAAAATGACAAGAAATACAGTTGTAACAGAAACCAGATGGGACACAGAGGATATTATATTTACCAGCTCATAGAGAAAGTTTTCCAAATTCTGATCCCTAGCTAGAGCTTTAGACAGAACACAAGGCTGGAAGTGTAAAAGTTACTGCTAATAATAATAATAAAAAAAAACCCAAAATGCCCTCAGAATTCAATGGCATTCAAAAGAAGAGAGACAGACACAGGTTTAAAGCATGGGGCAGTAGTTGGTGGGGTAGAGGCTTTAGGGCCTCAGGTTCTTGGGCTTCCCTGAAAAAATCCACTGCATTGTTTCTGGCAGGTGAGGGTGTACTTCTTCCTGCTCTTGAAAACCTCTGAATGATATTGTGATACCCAATGAATAGGCTATGTGATAACTCACAGAAAAATCACAGTGGAAACACTTTATAGGAAATAGCTAAGTGCTAGCAGCAGAAAGCAAAAGAAGGCAAGAACAGATTAAATCCATGTGTGCTTTTGGGTCAATTAAGCTAATAATATAAATAGTTATAACAGAATTGTACTTATTTCTTCATCTTGTCAAATAGCACATAATTGTTTCCTCTTTCAATTCAGACAGTCTAGTCTTTCTCTGGTTTGGAATCAAATCACAAATTTTGGCTTTTCAATTAGTGTGCTGGTTTACTAAAGAGAGGCTTATCGTGCTATTATTACTTCGTGTGATTGTGGTAGGTGAGAACTTTGTAATATCCCCCCTTCAAGCTAGAGACTCAAGAAGGCCAGGGGCACAGATCAATGCCATCGACCTGATGCATTAGTCTCAGAGACAGCGTGTCAGTGGTGTAGATGAGATGGGGGGGGGGGCGCCTGTGGACAGAGTGGTGAAGACTGAAGACTGGTACTGGAACTCAAAGTAGGTCTGGAGTAAACTCCTCGGTGCTCCATCTGTTGGTTCTACTAAGCCGGTACTAGATTGGATGGTTGCCCTCTCGCCTGCTCATCTCAGTTTAACAATTCAAATATACTACCATATTCCAAAACATCCCAGAAACAGCAGATAGCCAGATACCTAGGATTCTCATCTCCCTGTCAAGCTACAGAGTTAGCCATCACACTTATGTGTCAGGAAGCAATGAAAACCGTTAATATACAACAAATGACATGAATTAAGTGAATTCACCTTACCATGGACAACAGTCTATTGATGGCCACTGCCCGTTGTTGGGCTTCAATGTGAGGCATTTCATTTTGAATTACTTGATCTGTGATTCCATGAGGGAACTGGTGGCACAATTCTATAATTCTAGGAATAAAGGTATTAATGATTTATGTTTGCTTGTTCCAAAAGGCAAATGAGGGAGCTCCATTATAGTTACACATTAAAGCTGAAACCTCAGTGCTATCAATAGGAATAAGTACAACAAAATGAAGCCATTAGGTCTGCCACAGATCTAATGTGGAATACGGGGGTGGGGATGTGTTATGGGGATTCACAACTGGAGTCTGTTTGCGAAATTATCCCTTCCAAACGAATTCAAATATCTCCTTAGGAGTAATAAATTTAGTATCCACAACTGATGAGAAAATTGCTGTCTTTTACCTAATATCTGTACATTATAATTAAAAATATCTGTACGCTATAGGGGAGTATTGGCTTTAAGGCACTCATCAATGATGCTTTGAAATCACAAACTGAACCCTGACTTGGCCGAACGTTCTCTTATGGAACTTCCCTTGGACGCCAAGCAACCCTGAGATCGAACATGAATTCAAACATGCCCAAGGACTACAGGGAAAATGCACGTCTCTCTTCAAGCACTGGCCGTCGTCGAGTTCCAAGTGTGTCCTCACTACTCTGACAGAATCCTAACAGAATCCTGAAGCAGCCAGTTACATAAGGTTCCAAGTCGTCATCGCTGCTCTCCCAAGTCCGGAGGGGGGCGTCTAGAACCTCGCAATTCGGCTCCCGCGTGCTCACCAAGCCTGCTCCGGCCACTCCGCGGGCCTGCGAGAGAAGGGGTCCGGCTGCCCGGCTGACTTCCTCGCCCCGAGTTGGGAACCTGGCTTCACTGCATTACCTGTTTTCTATTTCCACCGGATCCGCGTCCGGTGGCTGCACCTTCACCTTCACCTCAGCCATAAGGGCGGTTTTGGAGACTAGAGAAAAAAATCGCTCTGGGGAGCGCGCTAAGTCCCGGGAGCCGGGACAGTCGCGCGCCGGGAGGCCGAGGGTCCTTCTTCGTCCGGTCGCGCCGGGCCGTCGTCAGGTCGGCCTGGGGCGTCCGTGCTGTGCCTGCTCCGCTCTGCTCAGCAGTGTCATCGCAGGGTCTCCTTTCTGCTGTCCCGAATTTTAGTGCCTGTCGGAATAAAGACTCTGGCTCCCGTGCGCTGAACAGGAGCGCACCCTTTTAGGGCCTTCCAGCCCCCGGAAAGGCATATTGTTGGATACCTATAGCAAAGCCTCTCAGACGGAGGTGGGGGCGGGTACCAGACAGACTCTGCGGCCCAGAGACAAGGGCGGGGCTGGTTGCTAGGAAGTCGATTTCCCTGCCAATCATCGGCTCGGCTCCCTGTGGGCGGGGCACGGCTCGCAGCGTCTTTGGTAACGCAAGCTGCAGCAGAGGTGCAGTGGTGAGGCGTCATCGACTAGACACCCGGTTGGCGGCGGCTAAGGTGCGTCGGGGGTCCTTATCTCTGTCCTTGAGGCTGGAGGAAGGTGAGGAGGAGGGCCTCCCTCACTCGGTTGGGAGGGATCCAGGCGTCATTTTCTGCCTCGCGAAGCCGAGAGCTTGACGCAGCGGGTCCTGGTCTGGGCAGCGAGGAGATGGTCCAGGTGAAGGATGTTGGGAGATGCTGGTGGCATGACACTGACAGCAGACTGCGGTTTGGACCTAGCGAATCAGCCTTCTCCATCTCCTTCTCGTGAGATCCGTTGACCACCGCAGTCTTCCAAGAGCAGCTAATAGCTAACCGTGAGCAAATTAGTCTCTATCCAATTGTGTTTATTTAGCATCTAGTTTTTCGGCTATCTTTATTTTAACTGACTCACTGGAAAGGAAATGTCATCATAGGCAAATCCCTCCGCGTCCAGCCTCATTTCTGAAGGGTGGGGCACCTCAAACTGACAATTCATCCTTTTAAATCTAATTATCCCATTTTTCCAGAACAAGGTATGTCAAAACGCAAAGACGTTCAGACCAACATTATCAGAATTCTAATTACCAAGCTTTAAAAAAATTGCCTCATCATTGAACAACAAATTATTATTGCATGACAAATTGTAAGTAAAAATGAGGGTGAATGTTGATTATAAAAATAGGATGAGTATGTACATTATAATTGAATAATTAAGTAGCCGTAATTGAAATAGCAATGCAAGGTACAAATGCTGTGCTATGATAACTCCTCCCCACCTCAAAGAAAAGACCCATAAGGTCTCTGTCTTGGATGCTATTTGCAAAACAGCAGATGGAATAGGAATCTTGTGTTTATTGGTTTATATCCATGTCAGCTTCCTTTCTCTTGAGAACGCATGCTCTGCAGTCTTTGCAGCTTTGACATGCAATATACTGCAACCGCAAAGGTAAGACAGGAGCGTAGACCTTCTTTTGAGAGCTGGCTCTTAATAATCCATGCTACATGCAAAGTTACCTGTTCGCTTTATGTAATGAGTTGCCTTGACGTCAGGAGAGTGAGTGTGTATGTGTGCTCTGGCTGAAGGCAGTGAAAAGGGAATGGTCTTGACGGAACCGAGGTCAGAATATTAATATGGATTCTGTTCTGCGTCGTTCAATTTATCTGCCATTTAAAATGGCTCCTGTCTCCTGTCGAATTCATTATTCGGTGTAATACAGTGACTACGCAACAGCAGACACACAGCTGAAATTTAATAATTTCATTTATTAAATGGGGCATTATCAGTAGGTGGCATATTAATGATATTCTCTGTAGGTTTTACTGGCTTGCTACATTTTTAAAAAATGGTATTCTGTAGCTTTTGTGTTCAGATATAGGTTCATGATGGAATTCTTAATCTAATTTTTTTTTTGGAATAAGGAGAAAACATGACGGCTGGTTCAGTGTGCGCCCCTCAGATCATACCACTACGAGTGCCCCAGCCTGGAAAAGCTAACCATGAAATTGATACCAATACTCTTTTGGAAATGAAATCTGGTAGGAATCACAAGTATTTTGAATTATTTAAAAAAGCATTGTCATACTCTGTATTCATTCTGTTGCTAATTGGTATCTTTGTATGTTTTCTATATTGGAGTTTTAGAAATTTCTAAATCTTCTACAAATTAAAAGTGCTGTTCTTTGATGGTTTATATGTATTTTTGTGAGACAAGATCTTATTATGTAGCCTAAATCAATCTTGAATTCAATATATAGCCCAGGTGGACTTGAATTTGCAGCAATCCTCCTATCTCAGCTGAGATTACAGGCATGTAACACCACACCAGTTTGAATAATATATATTTAAATAAACATAGGTTACTAGTTGCAACACCATCTTGACTCACTAAGTCAAGATTGTGTCCCCAACCCTTCTCAGGGTGCTTGTTATTTTTCTGGGATAACAAATTCACCTAGAAATACAGATTTTCCAGTATAAAGGGTTACAGATTGAATTCCAATTTGACAATCTCTATGACCTTGGCCACATTACTTAGTTTTTCTGAGTGTCAATGCCCTCTTGGTAAGATGGGGGATAATCATAGCTACCACCTGGATCCACTATAAGGATTAAGTGAGTTGCTGTATACTGTTGTATATCCAATTATATAGAGTTGGTATTTGTGAGGTACACAAAATTTGTCTTATAATAAAATAAATCTTAGCTGGGTGGTGATGTCAGCAACAGCACACGCCTTTAATCTCAGCACTCAGAAGACAGAGGCAGGTGAATCTCTGTAAGTTTGAGGCCAGCCTGATCTACAGAGAGAGTTCCAGAACAACCAAGGCTACACAGAGAAACCCTGTCTCTCAGGTACTCAGTTGCCATCTATAAAATGGGTAAAAAATTGAGACCTACGTCATACAGTAATATAGATGAATAGATGAAATGAGTTCATTCATGCAATTTACTCTATGTGTGTGTATTTTCTTTCTCTTTTTAACAGATTACAGTTATACAGAGACTTGTTATTTCAGTGCTAATTATGGTTATCCTGTTTTGAATTTTTCAGACACCCCAGATGTCAACATATATTACACTCTGGATGGCAGCAAACCTGACTTCCTAAAGAAAGCTGGTTCTGGTGAAAATAATACGTTTAAGTATATAAAACCTATTACTCTGCCTGATGGAAAAATACAAGTTAAAGCTGTTGCCGTCTCTAAGTAAGTTAAGAGCATGGTAGGCAAATAAGCATGATGGAATAACTATATACTTTTTTGTTATTTTTTATTTCTCTATATAGCCCTGACTGTCCTGGAAATCTCTCTCTCCCTCTCTGCCTCTCTCTCTCTTTCCCCCTCCCTCCCTCCCTCTCTCTCTCTCCCTCCTCCCTCCCTCCCTCCCTCCCTCCCTCCCTCTCTCTCTATCCCTCCTCCCTCCCTCACTCCCTCACTCTCTCCCTCTAGACCAGGCTGGCCTTGAACTCAGAGATCCACCTGCCTCTGCTAGGATTAAAGACATGTGCCACCATTCCCAGATACATTATATTCTAATTTTATTTATTTCTTTTTGGGAGAATCAATGTGTTTTAGAAGGACATTAAATAATTTATGCTGATTTCAATATATATAATTTGCATTTTATTAAGATATAAATTCCACAAATCATAAGCATATAGCTCAACAAATGTTGCATATATTAATAATATTTTTGTTTCAAATTCCATATTGGAGTTCTGGGGAGGAAGAGATTTCTAAAGAGCTTCATTTGGCTCTGAGGAGAGTGCTGTTTAGTGAATGGTTCTTTTACTCCCTGGGATGTGACATCATTCTTTGTTTCATTTTGAATCGACTTAATTGATGTTCAAAGCTATTGCCATTTCAACTTGAAGGCCATTAACCACTTTCTTCTTCCCACATCTTTCTTTTCCTACTGCCATTTTCTTTCTTAAGAATATTTTTATTTATTTATTCATTGATTTTGGTTTTTCAAGACTAACTGTTCTGAAAATTGCTTTGTAGACCAGACTGGCCTTGAACTCACAGAGATCTCCCTGCCTCTGCATCCAAAGTGCTGGGATTAAAGGCGTGTGCCACCATGAGTAGCCTTGATTATTTTCTTATTGATAATTTTTTCATTTACTTATTTATTATGTGTGTATCACGGGGAGAACTTGATAGAGTATACAGAAAGAACAGTTGGGTGAGAAGGGCAAAGAACTTGGGAACATGTCAAGAAGGAGAGGATGTTGTCAAAGGTTGGTGACCTACACGGACAGTCAAATCCCAGTCCACTAGCCCTGTGCTTCTTTAAAAGCCTCCTTGTGGTCAGCAGCATCGTGTCTCCCCATCATATTTTGTCAGGTGTTGGCAATGATTGTGCAGTTTTCCCTTCGCTATTGATACAATATATTAAGCCAAGCAGGAACAAAAACTGGAACTAAGGATGGTGTTCTGTGACAAAGTAGTAGATGTGAACAAGCACTTACTCACCACAGATGGGAAACAAAACGCAGACCAAAGTAAAGATGCTACCAGAGCCCAACTTGATGAAGCAATGGGTTTCACTGGGTTACTTACAAGAACATGAGTGGGGGTGGGGGTGTGCTTACAAGAACAGAAATGACTCAAAGACAGCTGTGTCACCGAAAGCTCACCCAGCATGGGTGACAGCCCACGAAAGTTGGAACCCTGGAGCACACTTTACAACCAACTTGCAGGTAGCTTGATATGTCGAGACTGTCTTCCAGACAGCTCCACTGGCCTCTGCCTCTTCCAGGTGGTTTAGCTGGTCTGAACCTCTTTAAGGCAGCTCTGCTTGTCTGAGAGGATCTCCCAAAAGTCCTTACTTCTTGGAGAAGTCCTTAAATTTGGAGAAGGAGAGACCTGGTAAATCTAGTTCATTTGGGACACTTGTGAAGCTACTGAGTCCTTTACTTCCTGAGTCATATCAGGTGCCCTGCAGGACGGAATGTTTCACCTCCTTTTAGAACATCCTAAGTCTCAGCAGGCTTCCCTCCCAGTTAGAGTGGTTCATCTCAGAGGAACTTGCTGCACAATTCAGAGCAAGTGCTTAGGGGCTCAGATTCCTCTGAGGATAATTATTTTCTTCAGTAGACTCATAAAGGAATTCCAATTTTGCAACCAAGGTTGATAAAGCAAACATAAGTAGGTTACCAGAATATCTCACAGTCCCCCATCTGTAGCTCCTTGAAATACACACACACACACACACACACACACACACACACACACACACACATATATCCTAACATACTAAATACATATAGATATCCTAACA